AGGGGGTTGTATTATTGTTTAAGTATTAATTTAAAAAATTATAATCAAAGGGCTGTGCATATACACATGAATCTGGCAGTTATGACTTTGGGTAGTAAGTAGTGGATAATTTAGATATGTTCTAATACAATTTTCTAATGTTAGAATCCTTCAAATCTAATTTTGCAAAGGAATTCAAACTCGATTGAAGACCTACCATTATTAAAATTTTGAAATTGAATATGCACTTTAAAGTTACCATTTTAAATGATTTGTTAATGGTCCTATGAGATCTAGTAACACTAAATGGCAAATATTGCAATTGTTAGAGATCGTGTTGATTATATTTATAATTATCTTTAAAAGCTGCATTGGTGGTGCTGGGCTATTGGCTGACTGCTGTCTTTCTATTCACTTTCCGCACACATCCGCAGAGCTCCTCCTCTTCCTCCTCCTCCAGCAGCGACTGATGACCGAGAAGGCGACAACCTTTGTGAAGATGAAATTCCAGCATTACATTCTATCCCTCCATGGTTAAACAAAATTTCTTATTATGCTAATTAAATTAATTATAAGGTTTATGCAGTGGGTCTTTTGAGCGTTCTTTCCTTCACCCGGTGTATGTTTTAAAGCAAACTCCTTGCACTACACCCTAACTTGTCCTTGCAGCTGTAACCCGAGTTATTTGAAAAAAATTGTCAAGAATACTATGAACAGCAATGTTTAATGCAATATAGAAGCCCAGTGTTGTTACTGAGGTTGAAAAATACTCCTTTCATAATGAGGATGTAAGATTGGTTGAATACAACTTTGTACCCGTGGCATGCAACAGCAAAGCGAGTAGAGTCTAGGATATGATCTGTGGGAAAAGAGAAAGAGGCTACGAGGGGGCCTAGACGCTGCTGCATGGAGCAGCTTCTGTTCTCACAGTGGGGCGGAGAGGGAGGGATTCAGAGTGGGGGGGGGGGGCACACAAGAAGTCACGTGATTTACGGGAGCCTTGAGCTGATTCAGGTACATGGAAACGTCAGATTGTGCTGTGCTGTTCTTACACGTAGCCTATCAAACCCAGCTTTGGTTGCGTTGGTGATTATGACAGAACCGGAAATAGAGGAGGGAAATGACCTTCGCCCATCGTGTCCCGTTTTAAAAAAATACTTTCCATTTTCTTTGTTTTAATTTGCGACTTATAATTGAATACTAATATACAGGCTGTTTTAAAAATATGCACCCATTTTCAAAGCAGTATATTTCACGATAGCAACATGTTACAATTACACAAAAAGTTACAAACGGTTTAATGAGTTATCAAGTTTTACTAACCATTTTAGAAATGCTCTATGTGCCCTCCACCTGCTGTACGAACAACATCGAGACGATAGTTGAATTCGTCCCAAACGCCTTTCAAAGTGTCTTCTTCCACTGAAGTCACCGCTGCCGTGATTCTGTTTGTGAGGTCATCCAGATTAGTTGCTAATGGTGGCGCAAAACACGGTCTTTGATGTATCCCCACAAGAAAAAGTTGCAGGGTGTGATGATGTTTGGGGATCTTGGGGGCCAAGAGTGTAGCGCCAAGTCTTGGGGTCCCGTGCGACCTATCCAACGTTGAGGCAGTGGGTCTTGCGAATGACTGAGGCTCGGGGCTGTTTGTGTGCTGGGAGAGGCAGCGAGTGGTAATCATTTAAAACTGTATGCCCCGCCCTCTCTATGCCCCGCCCTCTCTATGCCCCACCCTTTCAAGTGGTAAGAGTTTCACTCATGGGCGGTTCGTGGTTGCAGAGATATAGCGATTTCAAATCGGGTCTATCTTTTTGAAACACCCTGTACATGTTAAGTGGTCTTACTGCACGGGGAGTGAATTGTGTGGGAGAATGTGTAGTGCAAATGTAAGGAGATTCTTGCCTTTCACCTGAAGTGCTTGCAAATATAGCTTTGAAAATGTACATAGGATCACGGCTGTGGTAGACACATCGAGCTGAATTAATGTTTGCAGAATTGCATTTTCACCAACACAGTAGTTGGTAGACATTCCGAATATCCACTTTTATCAGCTACTTTGGATTTTTGTTAGAAATGCAGATTCTGTGAATACTAAACCAGGTCTTCACTGTTGTGTGTACTGTACTAAAATTCAATGCTCATATTTGAGATATGCAAAATTAAAACAATCTTTAACATACTGCTCGCTTCATGTATATTTAATTTGTCATTTTGTCTGTAAATACACAAGAAATGTTTGACCAGACTCACATACAGTATATCACATCCATAACAACATTGTTATTATCTGTAAGTGACTCTCCAAAAGTTCCGTGATGTTGCTAAAACTCAATGTTGTGCTGTATCGATGAAAATGATAGGACGTTCCACTTTGTTCTATGTTCGGGTCAAACATCCCAGTACAGGACCCTCCTGCAGGAGTCTGAAGACTGAAATGAGTGCGAGGCGAGTACATTATGACGATTGGTTCTTCTTCCAAGGCACGTCTGAGTGGGTTGTCAACTCCCTCTGTCATGTTTTCCTAGATAGTAATTCATTTCCACAATTGCAGGGGGGAAAAAGCACTTCGCAAAGGAGGAATCAAAATAAGAATAGCCTCTGGGGAATTGAAATAAAACGGCATATTGACACAAGGGTATGAAATATCACTTCATGAGCACTGAAAGTTATACTCTTGAACAATATTTTAATCCATACTCTGGTTCTTTCGGTAAAGTCACGTAGGTAGAAAATAATAGATCACGACGTTTCGATCGCAACACAAGCAATCGTCATCGGGTGAGACAATTGCAGCTTGCTTCAGTTTTCCTGCTGTAATTGTCTCAATTGTAATTGTCACCTGATGACGATTGCTTGTGCTGCGATAGAAACGTCGTGATCTGTTATTCTACCTACGTGACTTTACCGAAAGAACCAAAGAGTATGGATCCCTGCAGTCACGAAAATTTCAAATCAAAATTTTTTAATCGTTGAATCGCATTGTGGTCCATGCGCTGTGTTATGACCCAGGCGACCCGACTGATTTCTGTTAACCAATCTGACGCCTTGAGCGCCTTCACTCGAGGTACGTAACAAAGTGCTGAGTGATATCTAACCTGTTCCCTGGGTACTGCATCTGTTTTGCCAACCAGCGTGGTGAAGTATGGTCAAACAACCCCCATGACTGACACGGCACGTGGAGGCCATCACCCAGCACGAGTATTGACGGGGCTGTAAATTGTTGCACTTTAAATATTTTAAGCTGAGTTATATATTTGTATTGCATAAATGCTGTACAGTACTGGTTTTTTCCACGTTTGTATACCTGCAAATTGTACAAATTGTCCAACACATTTGTAATCCCGCACTTAAAAAAGAGATGAGGGCTGCTGCCTCGTGCATGGAGATTTGTGATGCAAACCGTGGCGTGGCCAGGAGATGGCAGCACAGAGAATGAAATCGCGAAGCCATCCGAGTGGTGTTGGGAACGTTATCCTGATGTTATCCTGACGTTATCCTGATGATGTTGGGAACGTTATCCTGATGTTATCCTGATGATGTTGGGATATTATCCTGATGTTATCCTGATGATGTTGGGAACGTTATCCTGACGTTATCCTGATGTTGTTGGGAACGTTATCCTGATGTTATCCTGATGTGTAAGCTCTCGATTTCATCTAGCACGAAGCATTCTTCACGTTCCTTCTCGTCGCATTGGCCACACAGCCACATTTTCACAATCCTCACGAAAAGGCTCCACAATAGCCAAGGCTTACCGAGAGAAGATGCGCCACGTGGCTTGTTTAATTTCCCTTGCAAGGGACCACAAAAGGCACTCATCATCAGCGCCCAGATACCTTCAATATTGTGGGCAGCAAAGGGCAGTGCATGAAAACAAATCGAGCATTGCACTGCACACTTCTATGCTCCCTGTCTTAACCAGCGTGGTGAAATCAAGAGTGGGAGGTGCGTCTTGGAAGGTGCCACTTATAATGTGGTAGTTGTGGGGGTTTTGGGTGGGCGTTACTTTCCAGAGCTTTTTACCCTCTGGTCGGTACGGTAACTGCAAACCTATCATTGGATCTTTCGGTAAAGTCACGTAGAAGGGAAATAATAAAATAATAACAATTTAACGTTAAATTCTCACGACGTTTCGGCCACAACACAGGCAGCCGTCCTCAGGTGAAGAACAGAGCTATCGGAAAGACAGCGTCTTAACATTATTTTATTATGTTTTATTATTATTATTTTATTATTTCCCTTTTACGTGACTTTACCGAAAGAACCAAGAATATGAATCCCTGCAGTCACGAAAGCTTTACATCGAAATTTAACTGCATACCTATCAGCCCTTTATCATTGCCTTCCTTATTACAGGCCAATTCAGACCTTATTCACCACCCCGTGCCCCTTATACATCTCAACGTCCATCCTACAACGTGCCATCACAAGGGAGAAACACAAACAAATAGACACAAATAATATTTTTTGCCCGTATTGAAACGGCCGTACCAATTGCCCTGCACAAGAACACGAGGTAAAACCTGATGACCGATTGCGTTGCGATCGAAACGCCGTAGTTTTTAAAGTTATTTTTATTATTTTCATTGAACCAATCCACGTGACTCCCTCCATTCTATCTACGTGACTTTACCGAAAGACCCAAAGAATAGGAATGCAACTGGCATCTTAAACATTCTAGATTCGAAGCTGTCGTGACTGCAAGGATTCATACTCTTAGGTTTTTTCGGTAAAGTCACGTAGGTAAAAATAAAAAATAAATAATAATAAAACTAGTAATATAAATAAAATAAATATTTCATTTATATTATTATTTCTATTATTTTTTATATAATTTTTAAAAAATATTAAAATAATAATAGAAATAAAATAAATATATAAAATATTATTTTTATTATTTCTTTTATTATTGATCTTAAACATTGCCGTCACCGCGTGACGTCACACGCGACACCACCTGCGCGATTGGCTACATGACGTCATGTTCACGAGTTTCGCAAAATGATGTCACTGGAGGTGGTGGGGGGGGGGGCCACCGTGTATATATCATCAACACAGAAGGCCGGCTGGCTGCTTCAGGCGAGCAGGCAAAGTGAAAGCGGCCGTGTTGGTGTCGAGCCTTGAACAACTGTCCCCCCTCACGCCTCCAAGGTAAGGGGCGACACGGCGTGCTCCTTCTTCACCCGGCCGGGCCTGCCGCGGTGGAGGCTCGGAACGTGTTGACCGACGTTTCGTGACCCCCCTCCCCACCCCATTGTGGAGTGTAACGCGACGCGGCCAAGACTCACGATGTCACACGCGGGTCGGGTCTGTTCGGCTTTGTGTTTGTGTGTCTGTGGGGGTTCGTGCGCTGTGCTACGAACCCGGCCACCCGAGTTCGGTTTCTGCTCACGGTCAACACCGGTGGTGAGGATTATTTGAACCGGTCCTGGGCATCCCCTAGGTCGACTCGGCCTCAAAATGAGTACCCGGTGCGGTGTGTAAAAACATCGCCACTGGGGAGACAAAGGCGGCCGTGCGTGGTGTTGGCCACCCACCCCGTCGTGTGCCGTGTGGGCCTTCATAGGTGCTCGCTAACAGCACTTGCCCCTACAGTCTGCTAAGGCTACACGGGGGATCTTTGTATTTATGTACTACCCTGTGTAGTCTGCACCGTCATTTGCATCGCCCGTGGCTGTCTGTGCTGTGATCCCCCGTCTGTGCTGTGATCCCCCGTCTGTGCTGTGGTTCCCGTCTGTGCTGTGGTTCCCGTCTGTGCTGTGGTTCCCCGTCTGTGCTGTGGTTCCCGTCTGTGCTGTGGTTCCCGTCTGTGCTGTGGTTCCCCGTCTGTGCTGTGGTTCCCGTCTGTGCTGTGGTTCCCGTCTGTGCTGTGGTTCCCCGTCTGTGCTGTGGTTCCTCGTCTGTGCTGTGGTTCCCGTCTGTGCTGTGGTTCCCGTCTGTGCTGTGGTTCCCGTCTGTGCTGTGGTTCCCGTCTGTGCTGTGGTTCCCGTCTGTGCTGTGGTTCCTCGTCTGTGCTGTGGTTCCCGTCTGTGCTGTGGTTCCCGTCTGTGCTGTGGTTCCCGTCTGTGCTGTGGTTCCCGTCTGTGCTGTGGTTCCCGTCTGTGCTGTGGTTCCCGTCTGTGCTGTGGTTCCCGTCTGTGCTGTGGTTCCCGTCTGTGCTGTGGTTCCCGTCTGTGCTGTGGTTCCCGTCTGTGCTGTGGTTCCCGTCTGTGCTGTGGTTCCCGTCTGTGCTGTGGTACCCGTCTGTGCTGTGGTTCCCGTCTGTGCTGTGGTTCCCGTCTGTGCTGTGGTTCCCCGTCTGTGCTGTGGTTCCCGTCTGTGCTGTGGTTCCTCGTCTGTGCTGCGGGCAGCCCGAGACATTTTATCCAGAAAAGAAAAGAAAATCAATAAAAGCAAAATAAAATAAAAATCACGACGTTTCGGAGGCAACACAAGCTTCCGTCTTGCCTCCGAAACGTGATTGTTATTTTATTTTGCTTTTATTGATTTAAATTTTCTACCTACGTGACTTTACTTAAAAAACCTAAGAATATGAATCCTTGCAGTCACGAAAGCTTCAAATCTAAAAAAAGAAAATAAACTTTGCTTGAATCGAAAACGGTCGATTCCGCCGCCCAAACGATTCCACGAATTGACCGCAGCGGGAGTTTGTGAATCGATGGCATTCGGGGCGATTCTGGGAATCGATTAATCATGTGATGTCGGTAGTCCCGGAATCATCTTCTTGGTTCTTTCGGTAAAGTTACGTAGAAGGGAAGTAATAAAATAATAAAAATAAAACATAATAAAACAATTCTCACGACGTTTCGGCCACAACGCAAGCAGCCGTCCTCAGGTGAAAACCAGGTCCGTCGAGGCGACAGAGTCTGAATGAAACAGCACACGAGCTTGGAGCATATATATAAGCTGGGCGCATTGACAAAGGAATTTGCGTATCAAAAGGAATTTAGCATATTTATGGGAAATGCAGGAATGTGATTAGTACTGCATATGCATGTGCATTATGCAGGATTAACAGCATCAAAGGGAGCTGCAGTTGCTGCTGCTGCTGCAGTTTCTGCTGCTGCTGCAGTTGCTGCTGCTGCTGCACTTGCTGCTGCTGCTGCACTTGCTGCTGCTGCTGCACTTGCTGCTGCTGCTGCACTTGCTGCTGCTGCTGCACTTGCTGCTGCTGCTGCACTTGCTGCTGCTGCTGCACTTGCTGCTGCTGCTGCACTTGCTGCTGCTGCTGCATTTCCATTCTACGTGACTTTACCGAAAGAACCAAGAAGATGAATCCCTGCAGTCACGAAAGCTTTAAATCGAAATAGTCCCGGAATCGTAAAGAAAGTCACGCGGGCATCCAGCCCTGTCGTGGTCACGCTGTGCTCAACGAAACATTTACTCTGTAATATAATAATATACTACCACAATTCCATTGCCACTATATAAATATATAAGAGTAGGTTTTACCCTTTCCGGCAAACAAAACCGGTGTTAATATGCTAAAACACCAAAGTGAAACTTTGTGCAAGGAATCGTGTCTGCATGAATCACACAAACTTGTGGTGAACACGCAACACACCGCATGCTCTGCTAGTCTCGGATGGAGATGCTCACCCCAGCTCGCCATGTCCTGATAGCGCGTTGTCTTTGGGCTGTTCGCCTTTTGGCGTCCTCTGGCCGAACACCGAGACGAGGCTGTCAAGAAAGTTGTCTCTGGTGTGGACCAATCAAAGACGGTGCATCGTAAACTACCAGAGCATGCGTGTGTTTACATGTTCACCACGAGTACGTGTGGTTCGTGCAGATATCGATCCTTGCAAAAGGTGTCTGTATGGTGTTGTAGCATCTTAACACCTGATGTTTTATTACAACAAGTACACTAGTCTGCGTCGGTTCACTTCCCGTGCGCTGTGCGCGTTGATTACTCCACCCACGTCGAGGACTGCCCACCATCTGTGCGTCGTTTCACCCCTAACTCTTAACAATAACTACCTGGCCTTTCGCTCCATACGAAGCTCCGCGTCTTCTTGGCCACCGTCATGCCCTCTCTTCTCTGCGCTTGTGACACACGGACTCTTGAGGAAAATCGGCACCGATTTTAACCATTCAGGCTGACCTACCTACTACGATCCATCCTGGAGCTAACCTGGCTTGGTTGAGATTCTTGAACGTTCCGGGCACATCGGTGAGCTCCTCCATCAGGCAAGCCTACCTTGCCTGGGTCGTGTAGCAGGAAAAGCCCAGTCACCGCACGCCCAAGCAGCTTCTGTTTGGCCAGATAGAGGGGGCAAAATGGGTGCGGCACGGGCTCGAGAAGAGATGGACTGATGCGGTACAGGAGAATGTGGTGCTGAATGGACTTGCCAATGGCTGGTACCAACAGTGTCGAGATTGACCTCTGTGGTTGAGGCTTGTGAAGGAAGCTACTGGGCAGTTGGAGGCAGTCGCCCTCCAACAAGAATGGAGGGCAGAGGAGCGACGCTCACAACAACGAGCGGAGCGCCGGGCGGAATGGAGCAAGTTGGCTCCGTAGGGGGTACAGCTGGTGTGCATCTACCGGTCAGCTCAGTCAGCCAACCCATGGCACCTGGGTCTGTCCCGTGACCTGTCGGTGAGTCTTTGACACTTCACGTGGCTTCAAAGTGCACCTAGCCTGGCACAGGCACCGTGGTGATGTGACTTAGTGGCGAATGGCGGGTATTGGTATTAGTTATCATCACCAATAAAACATCAACAGTCCTGTTGTGCATAGGAAATCGTCCCTCTGTTTAAAATTACTTTCTACATTTTAATGTCCAAGCCATAATTGACGTAAACAATTACAGATTGACAGGATCTAACGATGAATCAATAATTAACGCGTGCAACTTTCGGCGTTGTTGTTGTTAATCGAGGTTAGAATTTGGCAACCGAGGGAAGGAGGCAATTGTGAGACTTTGTAAGTTGAGCATCACCCTCCCCGCACAGCGTAGCGCCCCGAGCCCTGGCACAACCTTCGAGCGGGCCACGTGCCGAGTTGCAGGATGGGTCGCGGCATCACAAGACCCGCGAGCGACGGCGTACGCTTGAGGGGAGACTTTGCCCAGCAGTGGATTGGTCATGTCCATTGATGAATAACGATTGCAGGTTGCACATTGTGAACACTACTCGCTTACTGTAAGGCCACGTGAGTAATCAGCTTTGGCAGTTGTTCAAGTCGCCGCTTATCCAATTTACCAAATTAATATTTGCTGAAATACAGTGTCTACTAAATGGATAATAGTTTGGTTCATAAAGTTTATTGAATCAATTTACCACAATTCTGACAATACAGTGCATCTGATTTCCAAGTCAGAATTACATACACGGTGCTGTGCAATGCCGCCAATCTTGCTTTCCAATAAGAGGTAAGCAAGCCAGACGACAATCACTTTCAGCATTTAATGTGTTTACTCTGGGCCGCCCTACCTTGGCTTATAACCCTGTGACCTCGCTACCTGTTTGGCTGCAGTGCAACGCAGCAAAAATCTTCCCACTTGATCAACCTCTCCACTTTCTCTGTCACGTGGCTTGGTCATTTACCGGCTCTGATGGTGCGGTAGTCAAGTGAGAATCGATTGCTGCAATAACAAGCTGTGGGTTTTTTTTATGAATATAGGGGGCACAAGTACCTGGTAGAGTTTGGGGGGAGAATAGTGGCGCAGTGGTCCTCTTACTGCGCTATTGTACCCGGCCACCCGAGGTATGTATGTATGTTGAACTTCTTTTGCACCGTACATAGCTGAGCGAGTAATCGGAGGCGCGAGTGCGAGTCCCAACCACGGCTAACATCGGTGATGTCTTGCACTGCTCGGTTATTATTATTGAGTATGGGAACTGATGTACGTGTTAACGTCATTTTCGTAGAAATATTTTATTCCTAGGAGGTTTATAAATGAGTAATAATAGAGAAGTTGCCCACTTGTTAGTTTCCACGATGCGTGGGGGGGATTTTCAGATCCCATTTTGATCTCGCAGTGCTTGTTATTTAGAAGCTGGTAAAGAAAAGCAATAAAAATGCCTATAATCACAATTACTAAATCAGTCTACAGTGCTTAGCAAGATGACCATGCCACTTTGTCCCAGAGGTTTTATTATTATTTATTTTATACTTCACTCAAGGCGCTTAACTCGGTTTAAAAAAACGGCGACAAATCTAATCATTTAGATGGCAGGGCCACGCAAGGACTAAGGAGTGGGTGGCCGCAATAGAGCAGGTACTGAGGGTTCGGGGGAGGGGAGGGGAGGGAGGAGGCGAGGGGAAGGTGGAGGAGGATGGCCAAATAGAGACGAGGTTGAGGCTTCTGAGAGCAACGAAAGTGAGGAGGTTTAGGAGGGGGGTGGGGGCTGCTTAAAGTGCTGGGGGAAGTGTGTACTGGACTAGAGAATGTTTTAGATGCACGTACAATAGAGATGATTGTCCTTATCATTTGCCTTGTGCGTACAGAACTGAGCTACGGCCAAACCCATCTGAAGCCCTTCGGTTGGAGGCTCTGATCACGTTATGCGTGATGCCACTGATGGGTTTTCCACTGAATCTTCCCACGCGTCTCCCGATGTATTCTTCCGCATGCACCACTGCGTTCGCCCTCCTGTACGGCTGTCAGGGTGAAGTCCAACACCAACTACTGGAGTAGTATCTTAGGCACGATTAGTGTTGGCTTGCCGGTTGTATCTTTCGGTGTACACTCGGGGTGAACGCACGGGGCTTTCTGACTGCAGTTTATAGCTGTGTGGGTGAACTCCCTCCTTTTGGAATGTTGATCCAAGGGCATGGTAGTAAATGTGTAGCTTGAAAGTAAAGCTTTAAAGTAACAGTTGTAGGCAACTTTATAAATCATACACTTACATATTTTGTATAAGACTTGTCCTCAATCCCGTGTTCGTCCAGACATCTCTATCGTATAAATGATGCAGTGCTATTTCATGGTCGTATCTATCTTGCTTATTGCTGTATAAATGCTCAGAGGTCTCCATCAAAACATTCAAACACAATAGGTATTTAACGACTGGCTTTGAAAGTAATATGTAGAAATATTATATAGAGTTTTGTTCAGCGATTGATCCAGCTGCAATAACTTTGCATATTACACGAACATTCGAATCTACAATAGTTTTCTGTTTGACCTGCGAACTTGTGATTTAATATATAAAAAGTATATTCAAGATGAAGCCATGCAGTTTGTCGGGAACATTCACCCCGTTTTTACTGGAGCGATATGAAATGTGAAAGAGGAAGGAGGACACAGCTGCAGGACAGTTGACGATGTTAACTTTGCTTGTTACGCCATCGGCATCTGCCTCGTGCAGCACTGGCGACAGGCCCGCGTTCTGCTTTCCAGAGGTGAGCGAACCAGTCGTGCGTGCAGGCCCTGCTGGGTGTATCTGAAACGCTTCCTTGCCGTGACCCCAGCAGACACGAAGCGCTTTGGTGACGGGCAGCCTCGTTCGATCCGTCGCAATTTTTTTTGCGCAGCTTTCTCGGGCCCGACCCAGCGGGGGACGATGCCTCCATCACGGCGCATAGTCGTAGTTCGCCGCGATGGACCATCGCGCACCGCCGTGCTTGTGTGCGGGCTCGCCAGCGTGAGGAGCGTAACGTCTCCGGCTCGCCGGCGACGTGGGCACCACGCAACACCCAACCTGCTCTGCCACGTGCGGTGGAGTTCCACGCTTGTCCCCCTGCACGGAGGTGCGTGATAACGTCTCGAAAGGAGAGGGTTGGGTGAACGCCTCCTGTCCGATAAGGACAAAAATAGTGTTGACCTTATTTATAATTCGAGCAGCGCCTGAAAGTCACCGGTTCACAATGCGCCAACCTCGGGTGACTCGCACGGCGATTTTCACGTTGTGTGCAGAATTTTCCTGCAATTCCGCTTCGTGAAAAATGTCGACCATTGCTTGCCTGCGTTGTCAGGGGCAGGCCCGGCAACGAGACAGGAAAACGGCACTTGGCTGTGTGTGACATAAGCCAGAGCTGCACGCTGGTACCCCCAGCGTTATATCAGCACGGCCGTCTTGCCATCGTTCAAAACATTCTGATTAAGAACCAGGTCGGTTGGGTTCTCCAATCACTCTTGCTGTATTAGACTCTTGCTATATTAGACTCATGCTATTTGTAACGTTATCGGTCGATCTCATTTGTAGTTCGTGGAAGATAAAAACCCACTTCTGCCTTTTTTAGTTGCAAGAGGAAGTAATGCGAGCGGTGGCTTGTGCGAGTTGCATAAGCAGGCGCACGCAGAAGCACAATGTGACGTGGCTGATCCCCCCCCCCCCCCCATGCGTGATGATCACATGCTGCTGCTCGACTTGTTTTTTTTGTAAAAAGGAATTTGGTGGTTGGTGATTTGATTGAGATGGACCTCTTGCTCGGCCTCGATTCTCTCGCACGTCCTCACGGGCACACTTTTGCACGCGTATTTTGTCTCCATTATCCATTTTCTGTTCAGTGGTCAACGGGAATGAAATTTGAAAAGTTTCCATCATTGTGTCCCGCTTTCAAAAATGGGGTGCGGGCCAGGTCTGTTTCACGTCTTGTGCAGAGGAGTGCTGTAGTCGTATAGAAATGTAAAAAAAATAGTTTGATCTCTTCTCGCATCATTTTAATTCCCTTGAGATGCACTTACCGCTCGCAGCCCTGAGCCAGCGGTGGAAATTTCCGTATTGTTATCATGGCTGCGAGTTTTCTCCAAAACATGGTACCTATTTGATCAACCCCGGGAAGGATGATTGTCCCGAGTCGATGCTCCAGCCCGGGTTTTAACTCGCGACCCGCTGCCACAGTCATACCTTCTGATTGTGAGCTGCCCGCTCTAGGCCCAGTGAGCGTGAAGATTTCACAGCTCTCTGTTAGCATGGCTCAAGGCTGTAAACTACAGATTTGTCCAACCAAAATGGGAAATATTTGTCTGGTAAAGAAAACTGAATGCATTATTCAAATTAGTTATTGAAAAGCATTTTTTGCTAATTTAGCATGAATATAACCGTAGCAAGTTCCTCTGCTGAACTGTAATTTGTGGTACTATAATTGTAATAGTTTGCTCTCTAACACACAGGCACCTTGCCCGTCCATACAAAGCCATGCAAGTTGGTGGAGAATGTGGGTTAATGGTGTAACTTAATTTATTCAACGCTCTTCCATCGTTGACAATTTGGTGATGGCGGTATTGCGTATGATGTTTTGTGCCAAGCTATCGTTGCACGGCGTTCTGAAATCTGGCCCTTATTGTGACCCTATTTTCAGGGCCAGCTGCAGCTGGTTCAAGCTTGTCGCAGAACTGCTTTGTGTTGAGTTTGTTGTTGTCCTTCCCCTGCCCCTCCGATTCGCACGGTCGGCTACGTACCGTGCGAAAGAAGTTCAACGTACATACAGACGCAACTACTCTAGTTTCGATGGAGTATAATGTCGACGTGTGTTTATATTTGCCGAATGTGACCACATCCCAGGCAAAGGAGGCACGCATATTATTTAGTTTCTAAACCGAACGCAAGGCAGACGCCCAGTCCACAGGCAGCGGAGAAGGGGAATGTTGTAACTATATAATAATGTATACGAGGGTAATGGATATTATTGATACCGCGTATTGTTCATAATACACACTAATGTATTATATTAAAATGCTGTGATTTATCCATACTCGGCCCTGCCATGGTAATGCGGAACTTCCACCGCATGCTCAAGGCTGTAAACAGGAGATGAGGCACCGCCTGGATGCTCGCTTGAGCAGGAAATCGCGGATGCTCAAAGTAGTTTTTGTCGTGAAAAAGCTTTACTGTACACCCATAGGGTCTGGAAAGTCCCTTTTCGCACCTTCTCTGCGCTCCCAGCTGGCTCGTGAGCAGGGCTCGAAGGACTTTCTCCCTCCACCCACCCACCACGCCCCTTCCTCTACAACTCCTCCAGCTCGTATGTCGATGTTGTATGTTGGACTTCTTTCGCACCGTACGTAGCAGCCCACCGCGTGGTGGGACCGTTGAGACGGCGCGAGGCTGTGCCGCGTCTCTCTCTCTCTCGCGCTCTCTCCACAACTTCCACAGCAAGACGTTGGATTGGTTAAATCTAGTTTCTGGAAGTGCGTGTTTTGTATTAAAGTAGACCGACAGTGTTTGCACATCTAGAAAAACAAGTAGAGTGAGGTCTGATGATTGTTTTCAGACATTGGATTGTTTTGAATGGCTTGGTAGAATCACCAGGTCACCTTTGTAACTCAGAAGGCAAAAATAGGACACTGGATTACCATGGAGCTTTAATATTCACGTCAGCCTCGCCTTTCATACACACGCACATGTATGTTGAACTTCTTTCGCACCGTACGTAGCCAACCAAAGACAACAAGCTAAACGCAGTTTAAAAGAAATGGGTTTTCAATCGAGATGATTTCAAAGTGCATCCAGCGGCTTCCTCTGTGGTGTGCACGGAGTCGCCATTCTCTCACTGTTGATGTGCCCCGCTCCTCTTAGTCTCGTCGACAGTGCCGCTGTAGGACTGATCACGGTCCTGTGCATATCACAAACAAGCGCTGACGGCATGAGGAGCCCGGCTGAAAACGCTCTCGCTTGGCTTGTCACGAGGGAAACTTTCATCCTGAGGGAGCAGATTTACATTAGAATTTTTAAACGTGCACCTCCGCACCGGTGGTTCTTACTCGGTTGATGAAGGCAGGAGTTATCGGCCTGTCCAGACTCGACGACTTGTAAACAATGAATGCATCTCTGTGCTGCCATGGCGAGTCATGCGTGCTTTGTCTGTGTGCTTTTGGGGGGAGAGCGGTGGTGCAGCGATTGGCACTACGAACTGAACCTGGCAACCAGCGCTCGATTCTCGCTCACGGCCAGCGTCGGTGACGATTATCTTAACCAGTCGTGGGCCTCCCCGAGGTCGACTCGGCCTCAAATGAGTACCTGGTGCGGTGTGTAAACATCAACACGGGGGAGACGAAGGCGGCCGAGCGTGTTGCTGGTCACCCACCACCTCGTGAGCCGCGCCAGCCCACGCAGGCGCCACTCGCCTTAACAGCACTTGTGTCGGCGGTTTGATGCAGGCTACGCGCCGGGGATCTTCGCCCGTTCACCCGTTCACCCTCTCTCCCCCCGGGTGCAGATGATGCGTCCGGCGGTCGTGGCCGCGCTGCTGACTGCCGTGGCCGGCAGCATCATGTGCCCCGACGGACAGCAGTGCCCCGACGGCAACACGTGCTGCTTGTCCGCCGAGCAGGGATACGGCTGCTGCCCCCTGCCCGCGGTACGCTCGACACAACCAACGAGGCCGCCGACGCACGAAGAAGCCCAACCTGGCAGTTTTATTGTTTTTTTGCGCTCTGCAGACGGTGACAGGAGGGGGCCCCCCGGGGTGGCTCAGGGAGAGCGAGGCGACGAGCCGGCACCCGCTGACTGATATCCTGGCTTTGAATCGGGAGTTCTAACCGCCCTGTCGGAAGCCAAATGGGGGCAGGGGGGGGGGAAATCTGTTTAGGGTGGAAAGCACCGAGGATCAACGTGGATACGTTTTAAGTGTCAATGTGTCAATGTGGAGGAAGTGAGGAGTGGGAGGATGAGTGGGGAGTGAGTTGATTGGTCTCATTCTGCCCATCACCAATGACGGTGCACAAAAACACATGTAATAAATATTGCTTGCCCGTTTTCACGTGGTTTGGCGAAAATCCAACTCTGTGGTTAAAACATTAGTTACACGGCCTTGGGTTGTGTGCCTAACTTTACAACAATGCAGTCTTGTGCACACAGCCTGGAAACCCCCTACAATCTCGATATAACAATCGCCACCCACCCATTCCAAACAGTCGGATTTAGGGGTCATGTAGGCGTTGGGTAATACAAATAGAATAGCAGATCGATGAGATTACGTTACCCCGCCTGGCTTGGGCGAAGGCTATGGTTGGGCTACCCAGCTACGTGTTTCCGTGCTCGTGTTTGTCAGGCCTCGGGGCCCGAGCAGTTCTTGCATCTTCAGCGTCGCAAAGGTTTTTCCCCTTCGCTTTAGTCGCCTAATTTTCATAGCCTAAAATAATGGATTCCTGCGTAAGGGATTCGATGCACATATAGTTTGCGTAGAGAACTGATTTGCGTCGAACTGATTTGCGTCATTCTTGCCCGATTCAGCCTGTAACGGTGCGTCAATTCATTTAGAATACGTTGCTACACTCGCAGTACTTGCATCGAATCGCACACACGATACTTTATATTTACGAGTTACGTTAATTATTCGGTAGACAACATCCTGATGTTTCAACTGCAATAATGGGGCGTGCAGAACTCTACTAAAGAGACGTGTAAGATGAGAAATAATACAAAGGAGACGGAAACATTTGACTATGATAGAGAATTTATAGGGGCAGGGAATCGTTCTGTACCGTAAATATTTTGTTAAAACCCGTATGGTAAACACTAACCACAAGCAGAGAATGCATGTTTCGTTTTCACGTTTAAAAATAAACTGATGTGGTTGATTCTAGATTTGAAGCTTTCGTGACTGCAAGGATTCATATTCTTAGGTTTTTTTTTTACCTAAATGACTTTACCGAAAAAACCTAAGAATATGATGTGGTTGACTTTCATGGTAAACCTGATTGCCACGGTGCTATCGGATTAAAACAGCATCTTGATTGCTGCGCTAAAACGTGTCTAGTTCTTGTATTCGGTATGGGCAATATGCTCGGGAGCTAAATTCCAATGTCAGAGTCTGCTCGCCATGACAAGAGGGTTTCGGGAGAGCGTTGGTGTAGTTCTACTGCACCTCTTTTATTGGAGGAGCGTAGACCCCAGTGGTTCGCTGCAGGGTCCGTGGCCGTACGTCCACGTAGCCACGCGTAAACCTGTGGTGGCCACTAGCTCGGACTGACGTGCGGTGTGCAGGCCGTGTGCTGCTCGGACGGGCTGCACTGCTGCCCCTCGGGGACCGTTTGCGATTTGGCTCACGGGAAGTGCCAGAAGGGGAAAATATCCGTGCCCTGGCTGGAGAAGACGCCGACGTTTACGCCGCAAAATAAGCAGGTGCAAAACTCGCTTGGACGACTTTCGCTTTTTTAACAATACATTTTACCCTGGGTACAGAAATGCATGGTTGTTTTGTCAGATTTTTTTAACTACTTTTAGTTAAAGTGCATTCTCAACTAAACTTATAACAAAAATATTTGAATGACCACGATGTGCGAATCGTGTCCACTTCCAGCTTTCATGGGAAAGGCCATTGCCGTACACGCGGTGTGAAACGAACATTGCCATTCTGCATCGTCGGGGCCTTTCTGAATCCTCACCAGTTGCCTTGTTTGCCTTCTCACCCCGCGGCGGCGCCCCGCTCGCGACCACCGCAGTGTGCGGACGGGACGTCGTGTGGGGACGACGCCACCTGCTGCCCGTTGGCCTCGGGACAATACGGCTGCTGCTCCCTGGAGGACGTGAGTCCCCGCTGCGTTTGTATTCGAAGCCGTTTCACTTTTCAAAGTCATTTGCCTCCAGCCAACTTTCACTTGCGGGAAATCTGTTTTGTTCAGCGTCAAATTATGTCCGTGCGGTTTTATATTTGTTGTGTAAAGTGGCTCTTCTTGCACCGTTCGTGTTTGCCTCATTGCTTTTGTTGTTTCAGTGACCTGGGTCACTCCTGCAAAATGAGATCATCCAGACTTCTTGACTTCTCGTCTGGCTATACAAATTAAACTTGACTATAGACTTCGGTTTGTTAGTTATACATGTGTGTCGCGGTATTGTGCTATGAAGATGGACTGTTGCCCAAAATGTCACCTCCTATATTTTTTCCTCGTAAGGCCACAGCGTCGTTGGTGAATGTTAGTTCGTGTTATTTGTGCACCGCTGCCAACGCGGCACCGCCAAATGATTTTGTATCTCGGTGTTCATTTCCTGACCCTCGCTTAGGCTGTCTGCTGCAGCGACTACCTGCACTGCTGCCCAAGAAACACGATGTGCGACTTGAAGCTTGGAAAGTGCGTACACGGCAAGTTGTCCATTCCGTGGGTGAGCAAGTACCCTTCCAAGCAGGCGGCTTCTGACGTGCGGTGCGACGACTTCACCAGCTGCCCCGATCAGAACACCTGTTGCATACTCCCGTCAGGCCAATGGGGCTGCTGCCCTCTCCCAAAGGTGCGTGTGTGTGACATACCGCCACGTAGTTCTTCACGATTGTGCTGTGACTGCATTCCAATGTGTGGTCAGGTTTGACCGCGTGCTTGTTTGGATAGCGTGCCGAACAACGCGCGTGTGGTAGAGACCAGCGAACGTATCGGAGAGAGAGAGACGTGTGGGCGTGAATGATAAGGACATGGTGGGTGAAATGATGGTCCCTGGAAGACCTGCACGTGTTTACGTTTTGTTTTGCTGGATTGTGACCCCGTTTCACAGGCCGTGTGCTGCGACGATAAGGTGCACTGCTGCCCAGAAGGCACGACGTGCAACGTGACGGCGCAGACGTGCAACCAAGCCACCCTCAGCCTGCCCTGGAGCACCAAGACGCCAGCCCTCAGAGTGACGGGAGAGCCGAACGATGTGCAGTGCGACGATCAGGTCGGCTGTCCCGACGGGAACACGTGCTGCAAGACGGACGCCGGAGACTGGGCCTGCTGCCCTCTCGTCAAGGCGAGTACCGCTGCAAGCCGCGGGGCGGCCGGCGAGACCGACGGAATGATATCCGGTTTCTCGCGATTGCCACCGCTGGAAGGGTGCACGTGGGTCGTTCAATGTTGTGGTGTCCGTTGCTCCAGGGCAGATGGCTACGTTGTTCACGGGGTGCCCGTTTCTTCGGCTGTTGCTGTACCCCGATGGTTCAGCGGTAGAGCGAGCGGCCCGCAAGCGGAAGGTTGCGAGTTCACTTCCTGATTGGGGGTTGACTCTGCCCATCATTTCTCCAGGGTCTGTAAAGTAGGGCCCACTTTGCGGGGAAGTCAACGCTGGTTGCCCGAGGGATAGACTTGTATTTGTCATAGGAATGTGGAATTTCCACTACTGGCTCGGCTGCAAACAGGAGATGAGCACCACTTAAATCCTCAATGAGCATTAAATCACTTAACTTTTGCTGTTCCAGTTTACACGAAGATAATTCTCGCCATTTTGATTGAGCCAGCATCCCTATCTCTGCTGATCCTGTTTGTGCCAACAACATTTTATAATTTAACTTTAGTTTGAGGGTTTGTCTGCTACTAAATAATTACTATTAGGTAACTTCATGTGCCTGTGTGAAAGTTATTTATCAGGAAATGTAAACAATAATTGTCATCAGGCCCCCATGGTGTTAACAAGTGCAGCCTCCAATTCGTAGTCTGCACTCTGCTGGCCCCTCTGTTTAGGTGCTGTGAAGAAGGGCTACTGCAAAAAGCGTCGCCGATTATTTTCTTATCGTTTTAAGGGGAGTGTTGTTGATCATAATAAAGGGTTTTTCATTTAGGGTTGGATTGCGTAAATACGAACGTGTCGTTTACCCACCACCATCCGACCACAGTCGATTTAGTAAGGTTTTTCACATCAACGAGACGTGCCTATTAGCTCTACTTCAGCACATCGCTGTGCTGGAGAGTAAACCTACAGCATTTACAATGCGAGTACTGTGACGTTTCTTTGGTGATTACAACCAGCTTCATCGGGCCATTGGCCAGAATTGTGAAGAAGTCTCCATGCTGTTGACGAATGTGAGTTTGTTATTGCGCTTGTGCACCACTGCAGATGCAGCAATCGACAAATCATTTGTTTGGTTTTGCAATTTTTTGTTCATGTGTGTCTAGAAAGCTCTTCCAAAGACTGGCTCCTGTTCGGATCCTTAAATTGCCCTCTCCAGGTTGCTTGTGGCTGGGGGGGTGGGGTAAGACGCGGGAGCTCGCACCTCGTTCTCCGACGTTTGGTCAGCGAGGAAGAGGAGGCCACGTACCCTCTATCGGGGCTCTCGGGCTCCCGTCTAGTGGAGGCCCTTCCACCGGCAGTGGCGCGAGCAGGAGATTGCAGGGCTGCTCCTTTAGCTAACCCACCGCCGGGGATGTATCCGTGCAGTGCTGCTGTAGTACCCGAGTCGCCGATTTTGAGGTTGCGATTTGGGCAACCCGGGGACGTCTCTCGTTGGCAGGCCGTGTGCTGCGACGACCACGAGCACTGCTGCCCGCACGGCACCACGTGTAACCTGCCGGCACAGACGTGCGACAAAGGCGCCCTCAGCCTGCCCTGGAGCACCAAGATGCCGGCCCTCAGAGTGGCGGGGGGAGAGCCGAACGCCGTGATTTGTGACGATCAGTCCAGCTGTCCCGACGGGAACACGTGCTGCAAGACGTCTAGCGGAGACTGGGGCTGCTGCCCACTGCCAAAGGTATGTTACGTTTCAATAAAGGCGTGCCATTTACAATTCCCATTTTAGTGCGATGGTGACGATGTTCTGCAAGAATCAATCCACTGTTCGATAAAGGCCTCCCCAAGTCCGCCATCTCTCACTGTCCTGCAGTGGCACAATCCATCTAGTGCCTGCGCACCAGCTGATCTGTGCACCAGCTGATCACCCATCTCCGTGGTAGACATTCTCTTGGTGTGTTTCCTGACACAGAAACATGAATCTTGACCACCGGCCATGATCTCGTACAGCGATGATGTATACTGGTCAAGCCCTCTTATTTTTCGTGAGAGTATTAAAACTTGGTTACACTAAATGCTCGTATATTTGCATTGTGGAACATATTCGTGCCATCCGGCTTCGGCAGCGTCATTTGTTTGCTCCTGCGGATCCATTTTCTTAAGATCCAGAGAAGAGAAGCTTGATCGTGACCCCCGTTTCACAGGCTGTGTGCTGCAACGACCACCAGCACTGCTGCCCGGAAGGCACCACGTGTAACCTGCCGGTTGAGCGCTGTGACAAAGGCGCCCTCAGCCTGCCCTGGAGCACCAAGACTCCGGCCCTCAGAATTGCAGGAGAGCCGAACGATGTGAAGTGTGACGATCAGTACGGCTGTCCCGACCAAACCACGTGCTGCAAGACTGCCGGCGGAGACTGGGCCTGCTGCCCTCTCGTCAAGGTGAGTACCGCTGCAAGCCGCGGGGCGGTCAGTGAAGACCGATGGAATGATATTCGGTCTCCCCCGATATCCACCGTTGTAAGGGTGCACGTGGGTCACTGACGTTCTGGTTCGAGCCTTCGTGTCGGGCCTAGCAGGCTGCGCACATGGTCGGGCCTGCGCTTAGGCCGAGTGAATTGTTGCACATGGTCAGGCCTGCGCTCAGGCCTACCTGGCCGCGCAAACGGCGGAATCTCGGTTGGGACCCATCGATGCAATAATGTGACCTAAAAAATACGGTGCATCCCTCAGATCCTTTGACTTTTTGCATTTGGATTTATTACTTTTATTAAGAAATACATAAACAGGACAGTTGTTTATTTGGCTGAGTTGATTTTAAAGAGTCTATTACTGGCATTTATTGGACAACTCGTTACCAGGTTTCAAGGCTTATCGTCGCATAATTAAAGTAGCGTACCTCGTCAGAAAAAGTAGCTTTGACATTACAGAGTAAAATTCGGGCAATTGTTAGTGACAGCTTGCTGGTGTATCGGGGGGGAGCCCATTGCGATGCACCGGAGTGATTTTGAGAAACAACTCCGGCAACCCGGGGGGATGTCTCTCGTTGGCAGGCCGTGTGCTGCGACGACCACGAGCACTGCTGCCCGCACGGCACCACGTGTAACCTGCCGGCACAGACGTGCGACAAAGGCGCCCTCAGCCTGCCCTGGAGCACCAAGATGCCGGCCCTCAGAGTGGCGGGGGGAGAGCCGAACGATGTGAAGTGCGACGATCAGGTCAGCTGTCCTGACGGGAACACGTGCTGCAAGACGTCTAGCGGAGAATGGGGCTGCTGCCCTCTCGTCAAGGCGAGTACTGCTGCAAGCCGCGGGGCGGTCAGTGAGACCGATGGAATGATATCCGGTCTCCTGTGTATGCCACCGTTGTAAGGGTGCACGTGGGTCACTGACGTTCTCGTTCGAGCCTTCGTGTCGGCCCTAGCTGTGTCTGCGCACATGGTCGGGCCTACGCTGAGGCCTGCCTGGCCACGCAAACGGCGGAGTCTCGGTTGTGCCCATCGATACAATAATGTGACTAAAAAAATACGGTGCATCCCTTGAGGTCCTTTAACTTTTTGTATGCGGATTTATTTACTTTTCTAAGAAATACATAAACAGGACAATTGTTTACTTGGCTGTGTTAATTTTCAAGAGTCTATTTTTTGTATTTATTGGACAACTCGTTATCAGGTTTTAAGGCTTATTGTGGCAGCACTTCGGAGGATCGGCCGCCGCTCTCTTAGTCGCCGATTTTGAGGTTGCGACTCCGGCAACCCGGGGACGTCTCTCGTTGGCAGGCCGTGTGCTGCGACGACCACGAGCACTGCTGCCCGCACGGCACCACGTGTAACCTGCCGGCGCAGACGTGCGACAAAGGCGCCCTCAGCCTGCCCTGGAGCACCAAGACGCCGGCCCTCAAAGTGGCGGGGAGAGAGCCGAACGATGTGAAGTGTGACGATCAGTACGGCTGTCCCGACCAAACCACGTGCTGCAAGACTGCCGGCGGAGACTGGGCCTGCTGCCCTCTCGTCAAGGCGAGTACCGCTACAAGCCGCGGGGCGGTCAGTGAGACCGATGGAATGATATCCGGTCTCCCGCGATATCCACCGTTGTAAGGGTGCACGTGGGTCACTGACGTTCTGGTTCGAGCCTTCGTGTCGGGCCTAGCAGGCTGCGCACATGGTCTTGCCTGCGCTTAGGCCGAGTGAATTGTTGCACATGGTCGGGCCTGCGCTCAGGCCTACCTGGCCGCGCAAACGGCGGAGTCTCAGTTGTGCCCATCGATGCAATAATGTGACAAAAAAACACGGTGCATCCCTTGAGGTCCTTTTACTTTTTGTATTCGGATTTATTTACTTTTCTAAGAAATACATAAACAGGACGGTTGTTTACTTGGCTGAGTTGATTTCAAAGAGTATTTTTAGCATTTATTGGACAACTCGTTACCAGGTTTTAAGGCTCTTCAAAAAGGATGGCAAGTTTCTGTGCCTTACGCTTGAATTGCGCATTTTTTTACGTGCGCAGTGCATTTTGGGAGGACAGACTAAACATTTTTTTTTGTACGAGAAACGGAATCTCGTCGCACAATCAAAGTAGCGTCCCTCATCAGAAAAAAAAATAGCTTGGACATTACAGAGTAAAACCCGGGTAATTGTTGGTCACAGCTTGCTGGTGTATCGGGGGGGGAGCCCATTGCGATGCACCAGAGTGATTTTGAGAATGCAACTCCGGCAACCCGGACACGTCTCTCGTTGGCAGGCCGTGTGCTGCGACGACCACGAGCACTGCTGCCCGGAAGGCACCACGTGTAACCTGCCGGCACAGACGTGCGACAAAGGCGCCCTCAGCCTGCCCTGGAGCACCAAGACGCCGGCCCTCAGAGTGGCGGGGGGAGAGCCGAAGGATGTGAAGTGTGACGATCAGGTCAGCTGTCCTGACCAAACCACGTGCTGCAAGACGGCCAGCGGAGACTGGGGCTGCTGCCCTCTCGTGAAGGTTTGTGCTGCGTCTACTTGGGAATTGAGTCGTGCTTATTTCGATACAGCATCTTCTTTATCTTGAGGATACTCGATTGGGATGTTTAGTCAATTCCATTTTGTCTGAACGTATAGTATGTTGGATTTCTTTCGCACCGTACGTATCCAACCATGTTAGAGATAATATCGGAGTATACAGGGAGAGAATTTTCACTCACGAGAGAACAACACTCCCAGGATCCACACACATGGTCTCGTGAATACACAAAGCCTTGTTCTGTACTGCCATATTGTGGTCATCTCGCAGATGATCAACAAGTATCGGATCTAGACGATTCACTGTCCCTTGCTTCCAAAGTGTTGGATTGCAGGTGTGTGCCATCATGCCCAGCCATTTGGTTATCCAACGGCTAATACCAAATCGTTACAAGATGTAAATCCCTTAAAGATGATGACTCTGGCTTTTTCATCGCTCGAACATGTTATGCGTATAAGAATTGGGTGATTTCCCAATGCTGTGACATTTCACCACATGAAGTGATGAAGATATTGGTTGCGTGAACAAATGTACAAGGCACCGGACACCAGAACATGGTGACGTACATTTGTGTTGTCATAATGACACGGCCTGGGGTCCACAGTGCTTTGCACCTCGGCCTCACCACGGTGCTTTACGGCTAGGCCTCGCCGCCGTTGCTCGTATCGAGGCAGAATCAGAACCGTGAAACGTGTATTGGCTCGGCTAGCGAAGGCCGCTGACCTTTTGACCAATTATCCGATGAATGTGCTCTTTTCACAATCCCGTGTGCAGTTCCAGCACTCACCTCTCGCACTTTGCCTTCGTTAAGTTTGCAGCACATCGCCGTTTTAAAACGCTCTCGTGCGGTGTCGCCCCTAAAGGCCGTCTGCTGCGACGACCACGAGCACTGCTGCCCCGAAGGCACGACGTGCAACGTGCCGGCGGGGTCGTGCGACCAGGGGCAGCTCTCCCTGCCCTGGAGCTCCAGGACTCCGGCCAGGACGCGTCTCACCGCGCTGCTGTCCGCGTCTGCCTGCGGCGCGCGAGGGCAGCGTGCGGTGCGACTCGGCCTACGCCTGCCCCGACGGCACCACCTGCTGCCAGCTCCCGCAGGGGCAGTGGGGCTGCTGCCCCTTACCGCTGGTGAGGGCAAGCGACTTGGGCAGCGCATTCCGCGGATGAGAGGCGTTTTGTCTTATTTACCGCGTGGGTTGTCGCGAGCCGCGCGTCATGCGAGGTGCGGTTTGTTTTGTTTGGGTCGGGCTGCTCGTGTGGCGAAATTCCTCGAAATGCAAAACGGCGCTCGGTTTCCATCTTGGGTCGTGCGGCGGACGGCCGCGTACGCCACGCCGCTCTCGTTGTGTGGCGGGCCCAACGACACACGCAACAACGCACGCTGCCCACTTTTATAAAATGTTTTTTTTACGTACATGAGGGCCGTTGATGTCAAAGTTCAGAAATTGGAACGTTGGGTCGCTGTGGAGACGGGGAGGAATCCGATGAGCTATGAAGCTCTTTTTCACTGATGTCGATTAGGGGCAGGTCACAAAGTTACAACAACAAACAATTCTACAAAACGATAAGAGTTCAAAGTCGAGGAAAGGTAAGCAAATCACTAAAAATAAAATCGCAAAAACTAAACTATTTTATTTTACCAGGCAAAGCCCGCTGAGCTTGTAGTTATTGTTCAGAAGCGACCTGGCCACAAATGATGGCCCAACAACCAGCGGCTTATCGTGACGTGGACATTTATAGCAGCCACATAATCCCAACGCGCGTTTCACGTGGAACAGTAATGTAAAATCTTGACTTAAAGCTTTCGTGACTGCATGGATCCATATTCTTTGGGTCTTTCGGTAAAGTCACATAGGTGGGTTAAAAGAAAATAACAAAATATTTTCTTTTATTTTCTTTGAACCTATCTATGTGACTTTACCGAAAGACCCAAAGAATAACAATAATGACGTTTGGTTTTAAATCGTGTCGCAAAATCAAAGTAATGGAGCTGCCGCCAACCTCGCTCTCGCGTAGTGCTGGGGGTGCTTTTGAGTGTTTGTCGGCAAAAGCACAACTTGCTGCCCTGCTGCTGACCGGGGGTCGCTGGGGTTGAAAGTTTGGTTCCTGACATGGCGTGCTTCGGGCACCCGTGGCGGTTACAGTGCCCTTAGCATGTGACATCTCCTCCGTCTTATGCTGCCACGGATTTCTCTATTTACATGTCTAAAGTCTGCTTGCAATATACGGATTGCTGATCCGCAGACGATGTCGTGGCTTCACCGCTACGTGCTCGGCTGCAGAGAGAATTCCTTTGCTCCGATCCTGTCGCGATTCGTGGCTCTTTTGGATGGCGGCGGCGACGACGATCAAATGCGTTTTAATAATTTTTGTTACGAATGCGCCTTTGCCATTTTCAGGCCATTTGCTGCAGCGACTTTGTGCACTGCTGCCCGAGCGGTTACACGTGTGACCTGGCGCAGGCGAGCTGCATCAAGAAGCCCCATTTCCTCACCTGGGCCCCCAAAGCCCCTGCCAAGGCCAGGCCCGCTCGGGTCTTTGACCTGCTGTAATGCCCACCGACTCGGGCGAGCGTGCGTAGTCTGTTTGCACGGAGGGCGCTGTCTGTTGTGTGCTTGGCAGATGCATTCCGACCACGGGAGGCAATCTCGTGTCTGGCAAAAGAAGTGTGTGTTGGTGTCGGAGTGTGGCTCGTGAATTGTCTTTGTGTTCGCTAGCTTGATTGATGGTGAAGGGTTTGATTGTGTGTGGAGCGTTTTGTGAGCGGGTGTGTGATGTCCGTACCGCTAACACCTTGTATAATCAAAAACCTATTTGGCTGTACAGCAAAATCACGATGATTATTTGAGAAAAAAAATGTTTGTGAGGTTTTATAGCACAAATGTGTTATTTTAATGTTTACAATTTAAAAAGCCTGCTAATTGTTTATTTTTAAATAGCACGAGCAACCCGCGCATGACCTTGGGGCGTGACCATCTGTCCGACCATCTCCCCCAGCCAGCCAGCAAAACTTTTTATCTTCCATAGAGCCCTGTCTCTCTCCACCTCTCTCGTGTCGTCTGTGCCGTACATCCCAACGTCTTTCTCGATTCCTCTGCTATCGATTCCTCTCTCCCTGCCCCCTCCTGTAGCCCTCCCTTGCTGTTTGTTCTTCTCATCCCTCCACTGTCCCACCCACTACCACCCCCCCCCCCCCATATCTCCCTCTTTCTCTCACCTTTCTCTTATTCCCACCCCTCCCCCTTCTAATCTCAATCTCTCTCTTGCCTCTCCCTAATCCTCCCTCCCACTGCTTGTCCCATTCCCCTTCTCTCTGTTTTGCTCTGCCCATTTCACGCACGTTTACTCCCCCCCCCCCCGTCCTACTTGCTCTATTCCTCTCCATCTCTTCCTCTCTCCTCTATCTCCCTCCCCGCTTCTCTGTCTCTCCTCTATCACATTTGTGCTGGACGCACGGCCGGGGGGGAGGGTGGCGGGCAGGCGTGAAGTCGGCGCGGCGCACGAACCGGTTCAAAGCAGCGGGGATGCGGGTGACGTCATCGCGCAGATGTGCGCCGTGACGTCGCCACCGTGCGTGGCACTTGTGCCAGGATGCCGGCCAGCAAAACTTTTTGTAATGTCGTATGATTGTGAACCATAAGTATGGCGTACAATGGTTGTCTACACGTTCTGCTGACGAACAACATTGCGCTGATATTCTTAATCAAATAATTAACATGCTTTGTACAACTTGATAATAAACATCTGTGCTATGCCACATCCTGGAGGTAGACTGCATTTTAAAATAGGACTAGGCCCTGGAAGGCAACACTCAAAACATTGCAGCATTGGTAATGTAAAAAAAAATACTAAAACTTTGTTGAACGTTACTTTCTGCAGGTTGTTGTGCTTATGTAAGCGTAATGGCTGCCACCTATGAGCCGCAACGAGATTGAAGCGTTGTTCTTTGGAGGAATTCCGTGATTCTAAAGAGGTTCCCTACACTGGAGGATTTAGACGAATAAACATTTGTTGCACACAGAACAGAATGTAAGTGTGGAGTTTTTCTCACCCTTGCAGAACGTCGGACTTTAAAAGCGTGTCACCGTTTGCCATGGATGAATATTCAATCGGTCGCGCGTGGAATTTGCTCACGATTTTGTGCACGTAATGGAAATACGTGGCCACGTTGATGTCGGTCGAGTCTGAGGTTGTCACACTGTGTGAAGGGCGCAGGCTCCGCTGGGAGCAGGTGTCGTGAGACCGAGCGAGCCATTGGCTACTGATGATGTCGCCCTCGCTACCCATTGGGTGACAGGGCGACAGTGGCAGCATCTTGCCGTTGTCTTTACCGTCCAACTCGGCCACTCGCTCCACGCTCGGGTGAAACGTGAGCGAGGTGTCGTGCCAATAAGGGGCCTTCCCTAGGTCATGCACTCAGCGGACGAGCAGTCAAGTTCAACTTTAAAAACGACGAGTTGAAATGCGTAAGCCGTCTCGCAATCGCCAGACTTGATGTTTTAAGACTGGCTTTGAAATAATTATGAAAATCGCACGACTGAGTTAATGAACATGCAAAGGTTGGATGCATTATAAAGAAAAACCCTCCACGTTGAAGGCCACTGCAGAGGTTACAGTGGCCGCACGACTCTGGTGGAGCGTTGCTGGGTGGCCGCTTCCTGGCCGCTCGTTGACCCCAGGACGGGGCCGCGACACGCCGGGGCCGCTTCGGGCCACGGGAATCTCGCGCACAACCTCCGCATCGGGCCGGAAAGCTGAACTTGGCAATTAAATGAAAAACCGCGTACTCCCCACAAAGAACAACTTTGAAGCAGTCAACACAGGCCCGTTATCCCCCCCCCCCCCCAGCACCGTGGAGACAAGGGTCGGTGGATCGTACAGAGGTTGCGAAACTCCCCGACGGCGTCGAAGAGGAGCCGTAACCCCGGTTCGCCAGGAGAAGCGAGTACCGCAGAACTGCGGACTCCACCTGCTCCGTCTGCATGGGGGCTGGTTGAGCCCCCTCGCCCCTTTGAGTGCCCCGGTCCCCTCCGACGTCAACTCCACATTAATTGACCGACAGCTTCACGTGACGCGCACCGCAGAGCTGGGGCAGTCGATGGTGGCTCATCGCGCGGCTGCCTTCCCGCTCGCCTTTGGGACCACCTCGAAGCCTCCCGTTCATTCTTTTTCGCGAACGAGCAAGCGAGTGGTGTGCGGCACGTTGCAAGTTGGCGCGAGTCCGAGCCGTGTCGCGCGGATCGAAAACTGGGACACTTGGCACGGCGGGACACGCGGTGTTCGCAACGAGAGGCGCGCTTGGATTTGTGTCGCGAGGCTGCGAGGAAGCACGCGGCTCAAGAAAACGAAGGCAGGACAGCGTTGGCTTGAGAAGTGTAAAAGTGGGGCTCGAAGGGACGACGATGGCCAATGGACCGGAGTGGTGGCGAGATGGCAGCAAGCGGAAGGCTCCCGAGGCCATCGTCCCAATCCCTCCTTGGGCTGCGAGGCGGCCAGGAGGTGGCTGATGGAGAAGCGGACTGAATGCACACACACACCCACACACCACACACACCACACACCACAAACCACACACACACACACGTGTGGTGTGTGTGACGCTTTTGTGTGCGTGTTCTCCGGTTTTCTCAGAACCTGGACCGCTCCTGCATGGAATTTGCCAAACAGCCCCCCCCCCCAGAGTGTGATGGACCCTTCCAGCGATGTGTGTGTGCACTGGTGGGGTTATATTTTGTTGTTTTTTTTCCTCATTTCAGTTTCGCTGTTTTATTTTTTTGGTCCGATTTACTGTTTTTCTGGATGATAGCACGGTGCACGGTGTCATTGCTGATGGTCACTGTGGTGAGCCAGGCCACGCTTGCGAATGCGACTCCTGGTTTTTCAGACACCTCTTTAAACAAACGTCCATCCGAAAATAAAGAGCATCGCTGTTTTACTTTAATGACGGTGGTGGTGGTCTAATTCGTGGTGGTGGTGGTATTCGCTCCGTGTCACCACCACCATCACCCACAGCGGGGCGTTGCGCTCATCGGTAAACACGGCCGTGCGTGGGGGGCACTGGGAAGGCGGCCCCCAGCGCGCAGCTGCCGTCACTACGGCAGTCGGCGCGGCGATGGCCGGCGGTCTGCTGCTGCTGCTGCGTGCCCGCGTCTGCGCATAAAAACGATGCCGCCGCCGCCGCTGCTCGGGACGCTGCTGCTGCTGCTACTCGCCCTCCTGCCCTGGGTCGCCTGCGCGCCCAAGGGCGAGAAGCCGAGCCGTGGCGGCGACGATGTAGGAGGTGAGCGGGAGGAGAGAGAGGGAGGGAGAGGTCTGGGGCTCGAAGGGGTGTTGTTGACCACCGTGGTGGTGGTGGTGGTTGCCGGGTCCGCTGCTTTGTCTGGCGCGGAGGGCGGATTCAGCACCGCGCGCCTGGACAGCAGCGCCCATTGTCTGGCTCCACGCACAGCCCCTGCAGAGGACAGCGCCTATAGAGCTTACATCCTACAGAGCCTACAGAGCCTACAGCGCCTATAGAGCCTACAGCGCCTATAGAGCCTACATCCCCTACAGAGCCTACATCCCCTACAGAGCCTACAGCCTACAGAGCCTACAGGCAGCAGCATCCATGATAACACGACGGTAATAATCGTGGGCGTCAAAGCCCGTGATGGTTGTGTGCGTTACATCATTTTGCGTCGAATTAGGGCCCCGTATCTTACAGAAGAGACGGGGGGGGGTGTCCCCCTTTCGCCTGTGTACATCTGGTAGTGCACCAGCTCAAGTGAGCGTTGACTGCCGATGAGACCTTGTGTGTCGAAACCGCTCCAGAGTTGTGGGTGTGCTGAAGAAACGCCGATGGAAATACAGACTCCCAGAAGGCCGAGTGGCCCATGGGCCGCGTATTATTATAATTATCACGACGACAATGACATTTTGTCTGTAACGAGAGAGGACGCGTGAGGGGCTGCAGTGTCCTCGTCTGCTTGTGGGCTGCTGCTGCTGTTGTTGTTGTGAAGACCCCACTCCCTACACCACCACAGCCATTGTTGTCGCATTCGGTGCTGTCCGCGCGATGGCCCCACGAGCACTGGGTCATGCCGGGCTGCTCGACTTCTCCATGTTTACCGACTCTCGGCGTCGCTTCAATTGTCACCGTCAGAATAGAAGAGCGTCGTTATCGGCGCCCATCTATCCACTGCTGGATGAAGGCCGGCCTCCCACAGCCGTCGCCGGTGACCGTGGCGAGCCACGTGGGTGCTGATTGTAGCATCGTCGGTTTGCCGCCGCCGCCGCCGCATGCTGCATTGTTCGCGAGATGTCGTGGCGATGCCTAGTTCGACGTCAACATGTCGGGGTGCAGTAGAGCTGCCGAGCTCGACATTTCGGTGTTTTTACGCCGCTCTGGATACTTCAACTGGGCGAGCAGCAACAGCAGCAGCAGCCCGCCCTTCTTGCTGGAGACGTGCTTCGTCATCGTCGCTGTTGTTGTTATTGTCGCTGTTGTTATTGTCGTCGCTTGCGCTGCTGACGGTTTACTGCGGCGTTCCGCGCGAACTGGGCGAGTCGACCACGCTGCTGCTGCTGTTGTTGTCGCTGCTGCTGTTGTTGTTGTCGCTGCCGCTGCTGCTGTTGTTGTTGTCGCTGCTGCTGTTGTTGTTGTTCGAGACGAGAGCGCGGCATCGCATCGGGCAGGGTCCATTTTACAACAGCGGCACAGACATGCACGCCACTGCAGGGCAGATCCCACCACACTGACACCACCACCACCACACTGACACTGACACCACACTGACACCACCACCACCACCACACTGACACCACCACACTGACATCACCACCACACTGACACTACCACCACCACCACACTGACACCACCACCACACTGACACCACCACCACACTGACACCACCACCACACTGACACCATCACCATCACACTGACACCACCACCACACTGACACCACCACACTGACACCACCACCACACTGACACCACCACCACCACCACACTGACACCACCACCACCACCACACTGACACCACCACTACCACACTGACACACTACCACACTGACACCACCACCACACTGACACCACCACCACACTTCCACCACCACACGGACACCACCACCACCACACTGACACCACCACCACCACACTGACACCACCACCACCACACTGACACCACTACACTGACACCACCACTACACTGACACCACCACCACACTGACACCACCACCACCACCACACTGACACCACCACCACACTGACACCACCACCACACTGACACCACCACCACCACTACACTGACACCACCACCACCACACTGCCACCACCACACTGACACCACCATCGTCTCCCCTCCCGGCCGCTGTTTCCACCGCGGCTGGCCGTAGGCGCTTCGCAGCTTCTGCAAGGTGCCGTGCTCAGCGGCGGCTTCTGCTGGGCACCACTTGGTAGCAACAGCTACACGCAGCCGGCAGCGTCACGGCGTGGTTGTGTAAAGCAGTCGGCCTGGTGGTGGTGCTGGTGCTGGTGGTGCTGGTGGTGCTGGTGGTGCTGGTGGTGGTGCTGGTGGTGCTGGTGCTGCTGGTGGTGCTGGTGGTGGTGCTGGTGTGTTTTAGCCGCTGTCGGAAGGTCCCCACTCCCGTCCTGTCTCTCCCCGCCTCGCCCCGCCTCCTGCTGCTGCTGCGGCCACGTGGCCCCGCAGAGCCCCGCTGTGGATGGGCGGTGACAGATCCCCGCTGTGCCCCATTGTGTGCAGGCGGGCGGCGTTGTTGTTGTTGTCGTTGTTGTCGTTGTTGGCCCAGATTTGTCTGGCAGAGCGTTGTAGATCAATGATGGCATCACTAAGCTGAACATCGCCATCACCATCACTCAGCTCAACATCGCCATCACTCAGCTCAACATCACCATCACTCAGCTCACCATCACCCAGCTCACCATCACTCAGCTCAACATCAACATCACTCAGCTCAACATCACCATCACTCAGCTCAACATCAACATCACTCAGCTCAACATCACCATCACTCAGCTCACCATCACCATCACTCAGCTCAACATCACCATCACTCAGCTCAACATCACCATCACCCAACTTAACATCACCATCACCCAGCTCACCATCACCATCACTCAGCTCACCATCAACATCACTCACCTCACCATCAACATCACTCAGCTCACCATCAACATCACTCACCTCACCATCACCATCACTCAGCTCAACATCATCATCACTCAGCTCAACATCACCATCACTCAGCTCAACATCACCATCTCTCAGCTCACCATCACCATCACTCAGCTCAACATCACCATCACCCAACTTAACATCACCATCACTCAGCTCACCATCACCATCACTCAGCTCACCATCACCATCACTCAGCTCAACATCACCATCACTCAGCTCAACATCACCATCACTCAGCTCACCATCACCATCACTCAGCTCAACATCACCATCACTCAGCTCACCATCACCATCACTCAGCTCAACATCACCATCACTCAGCTCACCATCACCATCAGCTCACCATCACCATCACTCAGCTCAACATCACCATCACTCAGCTCAACATCACCATCACTCAGCTCAACATCACCATCACTCAGCTCACCATCACCATCACTCAGCTCACCATCACCATCACTCAGCTCAACATCACCATCACTCAGCTCAACATCACCATCACTCAGCTCACCATCACCATCACTCAGCTCACCATCACCATCACTCAGCTCAACATCACCATCACTCAGCTCAACATCACCATCACTCAGCTCAACATCACCATCACTCAGCTCAACATCACCATCACTCAGCTCAACATCACCATCACTCAGCTCACCATCACCATCACTCAGCTCACCATCACCATCACCCAACTTAACATCACCATCACCCAGCTCACCATCACTATCACTCAGCTCAACATCACCATCACCCAGCTCAACATCATCATCACTCAGCTCAACATCACCATCACCCAGCTCAACATCACCATCACCCATCACCATCACTCAGCTCAACATCACCATCTCTCAGCTCACCATCACCATCACTCAGCTCAACATCACTATCACTCAGCTCAACATCACCATCACCCAGCTCAACATCATCATCACTCAGCTCAACATCACCATCACCCAGCTCAACATCACCATCACTCAGCTCAAAATCACCATCACCCAACTCAACATCACCATCACTCAGCTCAACATCACCATCACCCAGCTCACCATCACTCAGCTCAAAATCACCATCACCCAGCTCAACAACATCACTACCACTATCATCACCATCACCACCATCATCATCACCATCACTACCACCATCATCACCACCACCATCACCACCATCACCACCACCATCATCATCATTACCATCACCACCATCATCACCACCATCATCATCATCACCATCGCAATCCGTGAGCTATCCATGTTTGGAAGAGGCCTCCCCAGTCAGGCCGTGCAACCAGCGCCGCTGCCGAGTGTGCAGGCGGTGCGCCTGCACCGTCATCCACGCCACCCACGCCGCCCGCGCCGTCGTCGTGCGCTGCAGCCGATGGGCACGCGGCGGCAACGTCTCAATCCCACACCGCCGCGTTGGTTGGGCGCTGCGGGGGCATTCCGCTGGGGAACGCCGTCCTCCCGCGGCGCAGCAGCAGCAGAGAGCCCGTGAGCTGCACGCCGCCTCGCGCCCCCCTCCGCACCCCTAACGCCCCCCCCCCTCTCTCCCCCCCTCCCCTCTCTCCCCCCCCCCCGTAGAGGTGGCGCTGCGGGTGCGCGTGGTGGACGCGACGACGCAGCGCGCCGTGCGGCGCTGCGCCGTGGAGGTGCTGGCGGGCCGGCAGCAGGCGCTGGCGTGGGGCGTCACGGGGGAGGGCGGCAGCGCCACGCTCGCCCTGCCCTACCGGCCCGGCGCGCCCTACCTGCTGGCGGCCACGCACCCCGGCTACGTGCACAACACCGTGGCCTGGCAGCCAACCAAGCCCCCAGGTGCCTTGCCGCCGTCTCGCCCGCACTCGCGACACCACCGTGTGCCAGTCCTGCTGCTGCTGCTGCTACCCCTGCAGCTGCTGCCCCTGCTGCTGCTCCTGCTGCTACAGCTGCAGCTGCTGTGTCTCCGTGAAGAGTAAAGGGGAATGTCTCGTAACTCCCGCTTGGATGTCTACACTCGTGTGGCCTTCCTTGGGCCATCTTCTCCAAGTCCCATCTTCTCCAAGTCCCATCTTCTCCGAGTCCCATCTTCTCCGAGTCCCATCTTCTCCGAGTCCCATCTTCTCCAAGTCCCATCTTCTCCAAGTCCCATCTTCTCCAAGTCCCATCTTCTCCGAGTCCCATCTTCTCTAAGTCCCATCTTCTCCGAGTCCCATCTTCTCCGAGTCCCATCTTCTCCGAGTCCCATCTTCTCTAGTCCCATCTTCTCCAAGTCCCATCTTCTCCAAGTCCCATTTTCTCCAAGTCCCATCTTCTCTAGTCCCATCTTCTCTAAGTCCCATCTTCTCCAAGTCCCATCTTCTCCAAGTCCCATCTTCTCCAAGTCCCATCTTCTCTAGTCCCATCTTCTCTAAGTCCCATCTTCTCCAAGTCCCATCTTCTCCAAGTCCCATCTTCTCCGAGTCCCATCTTCTCTAGTCCCATCTTCTCTAAGTCCCATCTTCTCCAAGTCCCATCTTCTCCAAGTCCCATCTTCTCCAAGTCCCATCTTCTCTAGTCCCATCTTCTCCGAGTCCCATCTTCTCCCAGTCCCATCTTCTCCAAGTCCCATCTTCTCTAAGTCCCATCTTCTCCCAGTCCCATCTTCTCTAGTCCCATCTTCTCCAAGTCCCATCTTCTCCGAGTCCCATCTTCTCCAAGTCCCATCTTCTCCCAGTCCCATCTTCTCCAAGTCCCATCTTCTCCGAGTCCCATCTTCTCCAAGTCCCATCTTCTCCAAGTCCCATCTTCTCTGAGTCCCATCTTCTCCAAGTCCCATCTTCTCCGAGTCCCATCTTCTCCAAGTCCCATCTTCTCCGAGTCCCATCTTCTCCAAGTCCCATCTTCTCCAAGTCCCATCTTCTCCAAGTCCCATCTTCTCCGAGTCCCATCTTCTCCAGTCCCATCTTCTCCAGTCCCATCTTCTCCAAGTCCCATCTTCTCCAAGTCCCATCTTCTCCAAGTCCCATCTTCTCTAAGTCCCATCTTCTCCGAGTCCCATCTTCTCCAAGTCCCATCTTCTCCAAGTCCCATCTTCTCCCAGTCCCATCTTCTCTAGTCCCATCTTCTCCGAGTCCCATCTTCTCCAAGTCCCATCTTCTCCAAGTCCCATCTTCTCCGAGTCCCATCTTCTCCGAGTCCCATCTTCTCCAAGTCCCATCTTCTCCCAGTCCCATCTTCTCCAAGTCCCATCTTCTCCAAGTCCCATCTTCTCCAAGTCCCATCTTCTCCAAGTCCCATCTTCTCCAAGTCCCATCTTCTCCAAGTCCCATCTTCTCTGAGTCCCATCTTCTCTAGTCCCATCTTCTCCAAGTCCCATCTTCTCCAAGTCCCATCTTCTCCGAGTCCCATCTTCTCCAAGTCCCATCTTCTCCGAGTCCCATCTTCTCCAAGTCCCATCTTCTCCAAGTCCCATCTTCTCCAAGTCCCATCTTCTCCAAGTCCCATCTTCTCCGAGTCCCATCTTCTCCCAGTCCCATCTTCTCCAAGTCCCATCTTCTCCAAGTCCCATCTTCTCCAAGTCCCATTTTCTCCGAGTCCCATCTTCTCCAAGTCCCATCTTCTCCGAGTCCCATCTTCTCCAAGTCCCATCTTCTCCAAGTCCCATCTTCTCCGAGTCCCATCTTCTCCAAGTCCCATCTTCTCCGAGTCCCATCTTCTCCAAGTCCCATCTTCTCCGAGTCCCATCTTCTCCAAGTCCCATCTTCTCCGAGTCCCATCTTCTCCAAGTCCCATCTTCTCCAAGTCCCATTTTCTCCGAGTCCCATCTTCTCCAAGTCCCATCTTCTCCGAGTCCCATCTTCTCCAAGTCCCATCTTCTCCGAGTCCCATCTTCTCCGAGTCCCATCTTCTCCAAGTCCCATCTTCTCCGAGTCCCATCTTCTCCAAGTCCCATCTTCTCCGAGTCCCATCTTCTCCAAGTCCCATCTTCTCCGAGTCCCATCTTCTCCAAGTCCCATCTTCTCCGAGTCCCATCTTCTCCGAGTCCCATCTTCTCCAGTCCCATCTTCTCAAGTCCCATCTTCTCCAAGTCCCATCTTCTCCAAGTCCCATCTTCTCCAAGTCCCATCTTCTCCAAGTCCCATCTTCTCTAAGTCCCATCTTCTCCCAGTCCCATCTTCTCTAAGTCCCATCTTCTCCGAGTCCCATCTTCTCCAAGTCCCATCTTCTCTAAGTCCCATCTTCTCCCAGTCCCATCTTCTCTAAGTCCCATCTTCTCCAAGTCCCATCTTCTCCAAGTCCCATCTTCTCCAAGTCCCATCTTCTCTAAGTCCCATCTTCTCCCAGTCCCATCTTCTCTAGTCCCATCTTCTCCAAGTCCCATCTTCTCCGAGTCCCATCTTCTCCAAGTCCCATCTTCTCCGAGTCCCATCTTCTCCAAGTCCCATCTTCTCTAAGTCCCATCTTCTCCAAGTCCCATCTTCTCCAAGTCCCATCTTCTCCAAGTCCCATCTTCTCTAGTCCCATCTTCTCCGAGTCCCATCTTCTCCGAGTCCCATCTTCTCTGAGTCCCATCTTCTCCAAGTCCCATCTTCTCTAGTCCCATCTTCTCCGAGTCCCATCTTCTCCAAGTCCCATCTTCTCCAAGTCCCATCTTCTCCAAGTCCCATCTTCTCCAAGTCCCACCTTCTCCAAGTCCCATCTTCTCTAGTCCCATCTTCTCCCAGTCCCATCTTCTCTAGTCCCATCTTCTCCAAGTCCCATCTTCTCCAAGTCCCATCTTCTCCAAGTCCCATCTTCTCTAGTCCCATCTTCTCCCAGTCCCATCTTCTCCAAGTCCCATCTTCTCCAAGTCCCATCTTCTCCAAGTCCCATCTTCTCCCAGTCCCATCTTCTCCGAGTCCCATCTTCTCCGAGTCCCATCTTCTCCGAGTCCCATCTTCTCCAAGTCCCATCTTCTCCAAGTCCCATCTTCTCCAAGTCCCATCTTCTCGAGTCCCATCTTCTCGAGTCCCATCTTCTCCGAGTCCCATCTTCTCGAGTCCCATCTTCTCCGAGTCCCATCTTCTCCAAGTCCCATCTTCTCCAAGTCCCATCTTCTCCAAGTCCCATCTTCTCCGAGTCCCATCTTCTCCGAGTCCCATCTTCTCCGAGTCCCATCTTCTCCAAGTCCCATCTTCTCCAAGTCCCATCTTCTCCAAGTCCCATCTTCTCCAAGTCCCATCTTCTCCGAGTCCCATCTTCTCCAAGTCCCATCTTCTCCAAGTCCCATCTTCTCCGAGTCCCATCTTCTCCAAGTCCCATCTTCTCCAAGTCCCATCTTCTCCAAGTCCCATCTTCTCCGAGTCCCATCTTCTCCAAGTCCCATCTTCTCCAAGTCCCATCTTCTCCGAGTCCCATCTTCTCCGAGTCCCATCTTCTCCAAGTCCCATCTTCTCCAAGTCCCATCTTCTCCGAGTCCCATCTTCTCCAAGTCCCATCTTCTCCGAGTCCACTGCACGGCCCGTCACGCTCAGTCTCGTCCTCCGCCTCGCTCATTTTGTTTTGTGTCTCGTGTCGTCAAACGCCGGAATGTGGAACGTAGATCGCGAGTCGCCGCGGCTCCGTTTCTCCCCACGAATCGACTCCGCCGTTGATGCGTTTTACGATGGCAATTCAAACCCGTCACGACCAAATTGTTTCTGATATGAAATCTGATTAATAATTCACATCTCCCCTATCCGATCGCCGCTTGCGCTTAGCCGAGAAGTCGGCTCGCCGCTTTGTGATGAACGCTCGTGGCGTGCTGTCGGAGAGCGTCGTGTACGTGATGCTAAACAGACGACTCCACACGTTCGTCAGTAAGAGCTCCCCGTGTGGCCCCACCAGGAGAGACGAAGCATGCAAGAGGCGACGTTTTGGGCAATTACCCTTTCTTCGTGGCACGAGAAGAGCGCCCATATGTACCCCTCCAGGTCCCTAAGATGTGGGCATGATGCGGATCTTCGTGCGGGAGCGTGCGGGAGTGTGTGGGAGCGTGCTCTTTGTTGCTTCTGCACCACTGGCAATGCAGCAGCAGCAGCATCCCCAAATGATGACAGTGGCATGGGTCTGTCTGTGTCGCCGCTTCGTGGCCCACTGGCCTCTTCCTTCCCGACTGAACACCTCGAATGTCTCGCCCGGCACTTGTTGACGAAGAGCCCCGAACTGGGGACGACGTCAGCTCCGGCTGCCTGGAGCCCTCGCCCCACGGCGCCATGTGGGGCGCCGTGGGGGCGGAGCGAGAGGCACAGCGCTCGTCACTGGGTCCCAGCCTCCAGACACCACCAGACACCACCAGACACCACCAGACACCACCACCACCACCAGACACCACCACCACCAGACACCACCACCACCACCAGACACCACCAGTACCACCACCACCACCAGACACCACCACCACCACCAGACACCACCACCAAACACCACCACCACCAAACACCACCACCACCAGACACCCCCACCACCACCAGACACCACCACCAAACACCACCACCACCAAACACCACCACCACCAGACACCCCCACCACCACCAGACACCACCAGACACCACCAGACACCCCCACCACCACCAGACACCACCACCACCACCACCACCACCACCAGACACCACCACCAGACACCACCACCACCACCTGACACCACCACCACCAGACACCACCACCAGACACCACTACCACCACCACCAGACACACACCACCATCAGACACTACCAGTCACCACCACCAGACACCACCAAACACCACCACCACCAGACACCACCACCACCAGACACCACCACCAGACACCACCACCACCAGACACCACCACCACCAGACACCACCACCAGACACCACCACCAGACACCACCACCAGACACCACCACCAGACACCACCACCAGACACCACCAAACCCACCACCAGACACCACCACCACCAAAACACCAACCACCAGACACCACCACCACCAGACACCCACCAAACACCACAACCACCACCAGACACCACCACCACCAGACGACACCACCACCAGACACCACCACCAGACACCACCACCAGACACCACCACCACCAGACACCACCACCACCAGACACCACCACCAGACACACCACCAGACACCACCACCACAGACACCACCACCACCAGACACCACCACCAGACACCCACCACCACCAGACACCCACCACCAGACACCACCACCACCAGACACCACCACCACCAGACACCACCACCACCAGACACCACCACACCCAGACACCACCACCAGACACCACCACCACCAGACACCACCACCACCAGACCACCACCACCACCAGACACCACCACCACCAGACACCACCACCACCAGACACCACCACCACCAGACACACCACCACCAGACACCACACCACCAGACACCACCACCACCAGACACCACCACCACACCAGACACCCACCACCAGACACACCACCAGACACCACCACCACCACCAGACACCACACCAGACACCACCACCCCACCACCAGACACCACCACCAGACACCACCACCACCAGACACCACCACCAGACACCACCACCACCAGACACCACCACCAGACACCACCACCACCAGACACCACCACCACCAGACACACCAGACACCACCATCACCAGACACCACCACCACCAGACACCACCACCACCAGAGACCACCACCACCAGAGACCACCACCACCAGACACCACCACCAGACACCACCACCACCAGACACCACCACCACCAGACCACCACCACCACCAGACACCACCACCACCAGACACCACCACCACCAGACACACCACCACCAGACACCACCACCACCAGACACCACCACCACCAGACACCACCACCACCAGACACCACCACCACCAGACACCCACCACCAGACACCACCACCACCAGACACCACCACCAGACACCACCACCAGACACCCACCACCAGACCACCACCACCAGACACCACCACCACCAGACACCACCACCACCAGGACACCACCACCAGACACCACCACCACCAGAGACCACCACCACCAGAGACCACCACCACCAGACACCACCACCACCAGACACCACCACCACCAGACACCACCACCACCAGACACCACCACCACCAGACACCACCACCACCAGACACCACCACCACCAGACACCACCACCACCAGACACCACCACCACCAGACACCACCACCACCAGACACCACCACCACCAGAGACCACCACCACCAGACACCACCACCAGAGACCACCACCACCAGACACCACCACCCATTCCACTCTATCGCCAACCCACGCGTGTCCCCTGCGCGATGTCGCTGTGCGGTGCGTTACGGTGTGCAGTGTGTACGGTGCGTTACGGTGAACATTCTCATTCTCTTAGCCCGGGTTGTTGTGATAGGCACCACCACGTGTACCCGTTACAGCCGTTCGGCGATCCACTGCTGGACGAAGGCCCCAGCCGTGGCACAGGCCCTGAGGGTTGTTGCACCGAACGTGAACACGCCGCTCCGTGCGGGGCTGGTTCAATGTGGCGAGGGGGAGAGGTTTTGTGCGATGGACCGGTTCAGAAATCGCTCGGCAGCGTTGACTTGAGGCGTGGCCGGGATGTAAACTCGGCTCGCTGGGCACGTTGGCGTCAACCGTTGCGGCACCGCCTGCGCCAGACGGAACGTCACGGAGCGAAAGTTGATATTTTGTTTAGACGACGAGAGGCTTCGTGAATGCGAGTGCCATCCTTGCGCAGGGACCGCGTGCATCGTCTCCGTGTCAGCCCCAAGGTTCGTGCAGCACACGCACTGCCGGAGCAATGATCGGTGCGCGTGTGCGCGCGCATTTGGGGAGCGGTGGCGCGGCGCGCTAAGAACCCGGCGAGCCGAATTCAGTTCCCACTCACGACCAGCAACAGTGGTGAATATTTGAACTGGGTCTTGGGCCTCCCCTAGGTCGACTCGGCCTCAAATGAGTACCCGGGGCGATGTGTAGTCATCGCCACTCGGAAGACAAAGGTGGCCGGGCGTGGTGCCGGCCACCCACTCCCTCGTGCAGTCCGTTAAAGGCTACACGGGGGATCTTTGTCTTTGTGAGCCGGGGACCCTGGCACCACGAGTCTGCCAACACGAAGAGCTGTAAAAACAAATGAAGTCGCGTGCTCATCTGGAAAATCCATTCCGGCACGACTGCCATTCACATCCGGAGCTGCCGCACCCCCCCCTCTCCATCACCCCCCCCTCCATCACCCCCCTCCATCACCCCCCTCCATCACCCCCGCCCCCGCTCTCCATCACCCCCCCCCTCTCCATCACCCCCCCCTCTCCATCACCCCCCCCCCCTCTATCACCTCCCACACGGTAGCGTTGGCAGTGGCGGTGCCACTCGTGCCGACCGTCACCGCCCCGAGCTGCCTGCGACCGGCCGGCCTGGCCCCCCCAGGGGCCCCGTCCATCGCTCCGCACCCTGTGACGAGGCGGCCGCAGGTGCCGCAGGTGCCGCAGGTGCCGCAGGTGCCGCAGGTGCCGCAGGTGCCGCAGGTGCCGCGCGCTCCGCCGGGCCGGGCCCTGGTGTGGCCCGAGATGATCGTCGCGAGCAGCACGGGGGATGTGCGTGCGGACACGAACGTGCCGTGGTTACACGATGTAACACGACTTTTTGTTCCCGGGTAGTAAGTGTTATTTTATAATTGGTTATGCCTCAGAAGTATAGAAAATCGCTATCATTCCCCACAAACTTTGCTTTTGTGACCAGGACTTTATGTGAAGGAAAAACACAAATGCACACCACGTTTTCTCATTGAAAATAGGTAAATTTCAAACTATCACTGTCCTGGTCACATTTTCTGCACTTTTGAGGCATAAGAAATTAGAAAATAACACTTACTACGCAGGGACAATTTTTATAATTTTTTTACTCCAGTGATTTATCATCCCGGGAATTTTACCATCGCCATTTGTGCGCCACAGTCACAATACACGCGCACGCGTATGTTACATGTATATTAAATGTATGTTATATGTATGTCATATGTATGTTGTGTGTATCATCATCGGCAGCAGGCATGGTCAATCCACTGCTGGATGATTGCCGCTCCAAGCTGATTACGACGTGTGTCTCGTGTACACGGCATGGAGTCCTCTCCTTGTGTGTTTTTCAGTGAATGGATGGAATGTTCGCTGTGGAGCTAGGAGCTGACGGGTTCGATTTTGGTCGCGTCGATGCCGACTGATGTTAGTCTTCGCAGGATTACTTCGTGGTGTTAATACGCAGCTGTCTTGGTGTGTCCCACGTGTGCCCCACGTGTGTCCCACGTGTGTCCCACGTATGTCCCCGTGTGTCCCACGTGTGTCCTACGTGTGTCCCCGTGTGTCCCACGTGTGTCCCCCGTGTGTCCCACGTGTGTCCCACGTGTGTCCCACGTGTGTCCCCCGTGTGTCCCACGTGTGTCCCACGTGTGTCCCCCGTGTGTCCCCCGTGTGTCCCACGTGTCTCACGTGTGTCCCACGTGTGTCCCACGTGTCTCACGTGTGTCCCACGTGTGCAGTGTTCTCGTCGCTGAGCGTCCAGCTGCTGCCGGAGCTGCCCGCGTCGCTGACCGTGTACGATGACACGATCGTCATGACGGGACAGACGAAGAGTAAGTGCCGCCCGTCCCCCGTCGTTCTTCGCGTCTGTAGCCGGACAGCAGGACTCTGGAAATCTGTCCCCCAATTCGCGATTCCTAAAAACATTCCTGGTGCCCCTGCGTGGGGGGCGCGGGGTGGGGGCTGTATGGATGTTGAAGTGAATTCGCGATGCGCCCCGGATCACGCAGACGGCCGTGGAACACTTCCGCCACGTGCCCGCGGATTTTTGTAATGATCGGTCACTTCGACGATTGGTATCGGTTCTAATACTTCACGAATCGGGTAACGTGAAAATAGTCGCGGGAACAAGTCTCCCCCTTGTGTGCGCGCCTCTGCACGGGAGGTGATGGGGCTTTGGGATGTCATTGGCATCGTCGTCTGTGTCGCTCTGGGGCCCGAGCGATCGATCACAAAGAGCGGCCCGTCGACTCAAGCAGCCGATCTCCCAGCCGTGCGTGCGCGGCCGCGCGATCGTCTCGCTCGCCGTGGCACCTGGCTCGGCCCGACCCACTCCCGGCAGTGGGTCTCGCTCGCCGGCACCGGGCGTGGCCAAGGGTACGTGGCAAGCGCCGGCCACGGTTTCCGCCGCGGTTGCCGCCGCGGTCGCTTGCGACGCTAAAGCGCGGTTCGCGTCCCTTCCCCGCGCGCTCGCAGAGCGGCAGGGGCACCGGGCAGGACGACGCGGCTGGCGTTGCTCCGAGCGCGTCCGCGCTCGTTGCACAATAACAACGTGCGCGGCGTTCCCCGGTTATCCTTCGAACACGCGGACCGAGGTGATGACGGCGTCGTGGCCAACGCCGTAAATGCTTCCACCGGCACCGCACCTCACCGCCGAGGTTTTTGACCCCCGCTCTAGGAGATCGCGCCGCTGCCGCTGCTGTTGCCGCGCGGTCGAGACGCGGCGACCTGCCCCTAGAGTAGTCCCCCTCCATCCACCATCCGCTCCGAGGAGCTCCATCCCTTTGGTTGACGGACTCGTGGGGACCGCTCCGAGTCGAGATTCTCTGATCTCAATATTCATTCTTGTGAGTTGCGGTTCGTGCATCGAATCTCGTACATAAGCACCGATTATTTTTGATGCGTGTGTTTGTGTCCATTATTTTTGACCTCTGCAGCCACTAGAGGCCGCTAAGTTCACCTGCAGCTGTAAACACACCAAAAAAAAGAAAAATTCTTAAATGGAATGAAATCGCGTTTCCTAATTGCCTTCTTTGTGCGGTTATTTTTCCTGATTGTAAAGCCGTTAATCGGCACGGTGGTCACATGGCAAAGCGCTTTGGTCGTCGGGATTAGCCTGAAGTGAACCTCGGGTTTCGTGTCGCGGTGCCGGCCCCCGGAAGTTTGACGAGCGCCCCGGGTGGACGGGGCCGGTGCGGCAGTGGCGGTGGCGGCACGCTCTGCGGAGGCCGACGCTGGAGATGGCTGGCACCGCAGGCGGGCTGGCGATGTCCACTCTCGGTGGGGTGCCGCGGTGGCTAGGAGATGTTGACTACCTCGCCTGGTCTACAGGAGGTCGTGGGTTCGATCCCGACCGTGACCCCTGCTGCTGTATATTTGGAGTTTCCTTGTTTCTCCCCGTGGTCGCGTGGATTTTTCTCCGGGTCCTCTGGTTTTTCCCTCCGTTAAGAAACACGCGTTTAGAGTATTTGGCTGCTATGAATTTCCGCGTCGATGCCGACGAGTGGTAGGATCCCGCACGGAGCGGTTGCGTGAGGTTCATCGTGGCGCAGCTGAGGCCCCGCTGTTCGCGGCGCCCCATTGCTCGAGCGACGCGGAGATCCCGGCCACCTCAACGTCTTGGCGGCCGCACCGGTCCCTCGTCACGCCAGCCGTGGGCGGTGGTCACCCGCGACGACGAAACCAATAGCTACACACTGACAATAGCTACACACTGACAATAGCTACACACTGACAATAGCTACACACTGACAATAGCTACACACTGACAATAGCTACACACTGACAATAGCTACACACTGACACTAGCTACACACTGACAATAGCTACACACTGACAATAGCTACACACTGACAGTAGCTACACACTGGCAATAGCTACACACTGACAATAGCTACACACTGACAGTAGCTACACACTGACAATAACTACACACTGACAATAGATACACACTGACAATAGCTACACACTGACAGTAGCTACACACTGACAATAGTTACACACTGACAATAGCTACACACACTGACAATAGCTACACACTGACACTAGCTACACACTGACAATAGCTACACACTGACAGTAGCTACACACTGACAATAGCTACACTGACAATAGCTACACACTGACAATAGCTACACACTGACAGTAGCTACACACTGACAATAGCTACACACTGACAATAGATACACACTGACAATAGCTACACACTGACAATAGCTACACACTGACAGTAGCTACACACTGACAATAGCTACACACTGACAATAGCTACACACACTGACAATAGATACACACTGACAATAGCTACACACTGGCAATAGCTACACACACTGACAATAGCTACACACTGATGTGTGTCTAGCTATGGTGATGATGATGATGACGACGACGACGATGCTGTTGTTCATGATGCTGGTAATGTTGATGATGGTGTGATGTTATTGTTGTTGTGTTGCTGCTGCTTCTGCTGCTGCTGCTGCTTCTGCTGCTGCTGCTGCTTCTGCTGCTGCTGCTGCTGCTGCTTCTGCTGCTGCTGCTGCTTCTGCTGCTGCTGCTTCTGCTGCTGCTGCTGCTTCTGCTGCTGCTGCTGCTTCTGCTGCTGCTGCTGCTTCTGCTGCTGCTGCTGCTGCTGCTTCTGCTGCTGCGTGCAGGCGCGGCCTTCCAGCCCAGCGTGCAGCTGCCGGTGGCGGCGCTGGAGCTGCCGGGGAACGCGACGCTCCGGCAGCTCTCGGCGTTCCTCACCGTGGCCGTCGCCGACTGGGAGCTGCGCAGCTTCCCGCACATGCTCGGAGTCGAAGCCAACGCCACGGGTAGAGAAGGCAAAGCTGCCCCCCCCATCCCCCCTCGTGTAGCCTTTAACAAACTGCTGCTGATGCTGCTGCTGCTGGCCGCCTGCGTCTCGTGCGGATCGCCGCTCCGTGGGATGTCTCGAGTTTGGATGTTGAAGCGGAGCCCACGCTCGGACTTGGCGGTTTGGCAACACATTCGTCAATAATAACGCTGCGGCCTTCAAAAGGCAACATTTTTTTTAATGCGCAACATTTCAGGCAATGGCTCTTCTTCAGGGCTAACGCAGGCAGAGAGAGGCCAGAGAGATAGAGTGGAGAGTAAGGGCTAGAGACCGCGCTCCGTGCCGCGGCGTGCATCGCGCGCGTTCAGTCTGGGGTTGGCGGCTGCCTTCGTGAATATTTAGCGACGGTGTCGGCGAGCGTACGGCACTTGCAATGCGGAGGTCGCGGTTTGATCCGATCTTCCGGCGCGGCGGCTGAAACGTTGGCCCGAGCTTCTCAAATCCCTCCCGCCTCTGTCCACCCGCCGGTAGAAATGGGCACGCCACAGTTAGTCGATCGCCAGGTTGTGTGCGGCGGCGGCGGCGATGGGGTGAAATGTGGGTACGAGCGTTCGGTCGACGTGGCAGAGCGGACCAGTTGCCCTCCGGAGCTCGGCAGAGCGGAGGCCGCTCCGAGCGGGGCGAGCTCGGGGAGCCCGCGGCGCCGCGCTCTCAACATTGTCTGTTTTTTTCATTCCCCGTCGACCTGCGACCGCACGGCGCCGCGCCCTGCCAAGGCAACGGCAGCCACGTGGAGCTGAAGCCGGTGTCGGCGGCGCGCCTCCGCCTGGCCACGGAGGAGGGCGCCGAGGTGGAGGCCACGGGGCCCGTGCAGCTGCGCCTCCCCTTGCCGCCTCGCTCCACACTGCGCGAGCTCGACACCGTCCCGGCCTGGAACTACGACCGCCGCGTAGGTGAGCGTCGCCCTCCCTCCCTCCCTCGCGTCCTGGGTCCGTGTCGAGGTTGGCGAGTGAGCCAGGGAACGGCTTCGGGAGAAGCCACGTGGTGAATCTCTGAAAGGCTGCCGGCGAATTATAGAATGGGACGGTGGCGTCACTGCGGTTCACGTCGCAGGGAGATCCGTAGACTCGCAAAGACACCCGTAGACTCGCGCGCAGCGGCGTGACCGTGTGACGGTGTGGTCCACTCGTTGAGACTGGTGACCGCATTCGAACTCTGGGCCGTCCCTCGTTGCCCATCGGTGCAGGCGGAGACCACCGCACGTGGCATGCGGTGGTTCAACACGGAGCGCGGTGTGTAGCGCGGTGTGGAGCGCGGTGATTGACAGCGCTGATTGACAGGAGGAGGTTTCTCTGTGGGGCCGGTGGCTCACCTCTCGCACGGCGAGGTCGGGGCCCGGAGTGCGATCCCGGCGAGGGGCGGCGTGGGGTTCGCGTTTTCTCGTCGCTCCATTCTCCAGATTCGGTCATCGAAGGGGAAGCGGTCACCGCTCCTGGCATTGGTCACGAAGGGAAGATGGTGCCTGAGTGCGGTAGGACTGTAGGTGTGTGTGTCTGTGTGTGTCTGTGTGTCTCTGTGTCTGTGCGCGAAGTGTAGCGATTAGCGCTATGCTGCGCTACGAACCTGGCGACCCGAGTTCGATTCCCGCTCACGGCCAACACCGGTGACGATTATCCGAAACCGGTTCTGGGCCTCCCCTAGGTCGACTCAGCCTCAAATGAGTACCTGATGCGGTGTGTAAAAACATCGCCACTCGGGAGACAGAGGCGGCTGGGCGTTGTGCTGGCCACCCACCCCTAACAGCACTTGCCCCCACAGTCTGTTAAGGCTTTACAGGGAGTCTTTGTCTTTGTAATTGGTAGCTAACAGCACTTGCCCCAACAGTCTGTTGATGGTTATACAGGGGATCTTTGTCTTTGTCGCGTGCAATTCTTCCACGCTGATCCCAGCTGTGATGATCGGGCGGAGGCTGATCGCTACTTTCGATGACTGTGAAAGCGACTGAAGAATAAAATCAACCTCGCTCCACTGAGACCCTGACCACGTGGGCGGGATAGCTGACCGTGCGCGAACACTGCGGCAATTGGCATCTTCACCAAATGAGGCGCTCCTCTAGGTCAACTCGGCCTTAAACGAGATTAGACTAAGACAGCGCTAAGCCAGCGGCCGTCACCGCGTCGTAAATCCGCCTCGGGCAGTCGCCGCGAGGGAGTCGCCGATTGACCGTCGGAGGGTGACCCCCAGGAAGCCGACCGCGTTCGTTCGCTCCAAGCCGCCCGCCGCCCGATTAAAGAGTCGCGGCCGTGAGCCGCGCGTCCAGGATGGAGCTCACGGGAGACTCGCACCTCCTGCCGGGCGGCACGTCCACGCAGACGCGCTGGGTCTCACGCTCGCCCTGCTCGCTTCTTACACGGCCGCGTGCTGCGGGAGCGTGGGAGCCTGGCACGCAGGGGGACGGGATGGGGACCTTGGGAGCCGAGGATGGAGGTGCCGCGTGGGGCCGTTGTGACTTTGGGCTCAGAGCGGACGGGACGGGTAGGCGATGGAGGCACATGAGAGAGACGCCGTCTATCGCTCAACGCGGGCAGCGCCTGCATACGGAGACCGATCAACGCCCCGAAGCTTTTCTCTTGAGGCTTCGCGGCGCCCAGCGCGGGCTGCGGATCCCGTGGGGTGCGGGGGGGGTGAGGTCGAGCACGTGGGCCACGAGGAGGCATCACCAGCTGACTGTCACGTGGCCTCACTGGGCCACGAGGAGGCATCACCAGCTGACTGTCACGTGGACGGGGAGTCGCCACGGAGGGTTGCAGACTTCAGCCCCTCCGCGTTCGCTCGTGTGGCTGAACCACCCCGAGTTGCCCGCCCCCCCCCCCGAGTTGCCCCCCCCCCCCCCCCCGGCTGACATCGAGTTCCAGACGGTGCAGGCGCAGCCTGGAACGGCACCAGCGGCAGAAGCCTCCACTAGGGGGAGCCCCTCTGGGGAGCTCCTCTGGGGAGGTCTTCTAGGGGGTACTTTGGCAGACACGTGTCGACTTGGTGTCGTGACAGGGGTGGGGAGTGTCCACACTTTACCCCACCGCACACCAATGGTTGGCTACTGTACGGTGCGAAAGAAGTTCAACGTCCTGTACATACATATCAATGGACTCCAGCAACTATGCCGTGTCGGGCATTGGTGTGTATGCCCTGGGCTGCACTGAGGCTTGGATCAAGGCAGCCGAGACCCCCCCGAGGTTTTCCAGGGTGATCGCGGGAGGGATTCGCCGTTTTGTTCCACATCCATCGCCGCCACCTTCCCCGTCTGTCACAATGCGCGCCTGAGACCGTGCTTCAAATGTGTTCAGCGGATTTGATTGTTTTGTTTGGTGAGTTTTAATGTTTTTTTGATGGTTGGTGGGGGGGCTCAATACGCCCAATCGCCAGCAACAAACAGCACTCGTGAAGGGAGTAACAGATGAGAGCGTGTCACGCTCTTCTTGAATTGAGCGCTGTTGTTGTAGTAGCAGCAGCAGCAGTGTGGCGTTGTGCTCGGGGTCTGTGTTGGGTCTCAGTGAAAGCTGTCGCACAGAGGAGTTGAAGCGACGAGTCGATGCCCGCGCGCCTGGCTCCATGCACGGGGGCCGGAGATCGACGAGCAGGCGGCCCGTGCACCGTCGCCTGCAGCCCCCTGCCCATCCCCATCCCTTCCTCCCCTCCCCATCCCTCGCCCCCCACCCGTCCTCCATTGTCCTCGTGACGTAGGAAGCGCGTGGTGCCGCTTGAGCTGCTGCTGCTGCTGCTCATTGTTCGTGGGGAGGGGAGGGGGGGTGGTGGTGGAGGCGGTAGAGCAGCGGTGGGGGGGGGGGGAGACCCATCGCAACGCAAGGCCCCCACCCCTCTCCTCCCTGCCCCGCTCCCTCTCCCTCTCCTCCCTGCCCCGCTGCCTCACCCCCCCCCCCTCTTCCTCCGTGTCCCCCTCCCCCGCCACGGGGACGAGGGAGCGCACAAAGGCGGAGGAGGCAGCAGAGCGAGCGCGGCTCCCGAGCGAGCCGCTGTCCCCCCGCGCGCGCTCCGCCGCGGCCTCCCCGCGGAGCGAGCGGGAGGAGCGCTGCGACCCGCGGCGATGCTGCGGGGACGCGGGGGCGAGCCGCAGTGAAGTGGCCGCCGCGCGCGGCCCCGAGAGCGAATGTGGCCGAGTCGGTAGGGGGGGAGAGGGCTTCGCGTCGGACGGGCGAGCAGTGGCGAGGGCGCGGCGGTGAGTTCGCGGTTTGTTCTGCGGGTCACAGACGTCAACTCGTGGCCACGGTGGTGGTGGAGAGTGGTGGGGAGTGGTGTGCACTGTGGCTGTAAAGCTTGGCTGTACTTGTGATGTTTGACTACACTTGTGATGTTTGACTCGACTTGTAATGTCTGACTATATTTGGCAGTGTTGTTTGTTCCACACGGGGCAGGGTTTTTAGGTGTGGGTGGGCGTGGGGGGGGTAGAGAGTTTTGGTAAAACGGTGACATTTGAAATGTGAATTTCAGCAGCCCATTGGCATCTTTTGCTTAAAACTTCATGTCTCGCTGGGCGGGTACAGCCCTCATCAGTGTCTGCTTTGAAATAATTCTCGGCGTTTTATTGAGAACCTTGCGGTTGGGTCACGTTCAGGAAGGGATGGAGCTCCCGTCCTGACGGGCTTTCATCACAAATAGCTCCTTGGCAATTTCCTGCCACTTTGGCGTGTCTCTGTGTTCAGAAGTTTGTGAAGTTTGTGAAGTTTGTGAAGTTCGTGAAGTTTGTGAAGTTTGTGAAGTTTGTGAAGTTTGTGAAGTTTGTGAAGTTTGTGAAGTTTGTGAAGTTTGTGAAGAGACGGGCGGAGGGCTGAACTTGTGCGCGGTGCCGAGTTTGGGCAGCAGCAGCAGCAGCTGTTGTGGATTTTGTCGACGAGTCTGACGTTTCGGACACGCGCGGTGCCGGCCTCCCCCGTGTTGTGTCAGCTGCCGGGAGACGGTCTGGGGTCACGGCGCCCGGCTCGCGACTCGGGCCCACCGCTCGCTTGCCCGCTGCGCTTGGGAGAGAGCGGCAGCACAAGCGGCTACGAACCCTGCGACCCGAGTTTGGTTCCCGCTCGCGACCAATAACAGTGGAGAATATCTGAACCGTGCTTGGGCCTTCTCTAGGTCAACTCAGCCGTAAACGCGTACCCGGCGTGGAGTGTAAACATCGGCACTGGGGAGACAAAGGTGACCGAGAATGGCGTTGGCCACCCCACCCCCTCGTGCGCCGTGCCGGCCTGCGTAGGTGTTCGCTAACGGCACTTGCCCCAACGGTTTGTTGGAGGCTATACGGGGGATCTTTGACCGTGTCGTGAGACTTTGTTGTCGTGGCCTCTCAACACTTCAACACCGGCTGCTGCGGCCTTTGCCAGGTTCCGTCGCCTGCGCTGGGTTTCGGCGCGTGCGTCGTGCAGCGAGGGGCCGCCGGCTCGCAGCGCGGGGCCGCCGGCTCGCAGCGCGGGGCCGCTGGCTCGCAGCGCGGGGCCGCTGGCTCGCAGCGAGGGGCCGCTGGCTCGCAGCGAGGGGCCGCTGGCTCGTAGCGAGGGGCCGCTGGCTCGTAGCGAGGGGCCGCTGGCTCATAGCGAGGGGCCGCTGGCTCGCAGCGCGGGGCCGCTGGCTCCCAGCGCGGGGCCGCTGGGTCGGAGCGAGGGGCCGCTGGCTCGTAGCGCGGGGCCGCTGGCTCCCAGCGCGGGGCCGCTGGGTCGGAGCGAGGGGCCGCTGGCTCGCAGCGAGGGGCCGCTGGCTCCCAGCGCGGGGCCGCTGGGTCGGAGCGAGGGGCCGCTGGCTCGCAGCGCGGGGCCGCTGGCTCCCAGCGCGGGGCCGCTGGGTCGGAGCGAGGGGCCGCTGGCTCGCAGCGCGGGGCCGCTGGCTCCCAGCGCGGGGCCGCTGGGTCGGAGCGAGGGGCCGCTGGCTCCCAGCGCGGGGCCGCTGGCTC